TGTCCTGCCTTAACCCTGTTAGGTGTGAAGCAGCCCTCTGAGGAGAAGCTGTGACATTCCAACAGTGGTAGAAAATCAGAAGCATTCAAAAGCTCCCAAGGCTGCCCCTTTCCTCTTTCTGTCCTTCCAGTTACAGTGCCAGTTCCACTCATGTGGACTTCCTCGCTTTCTCCTGTCTCCCCCGCACCCTTCCCCTAGTCTGTTGGAAAAATAAAAGGCATAACTTGAATTCTTCTGTTGGACAATTTTAATATTTTGTTTATTAAAGACCCACTCTTCAAAGGCTGGGCGTGGGTTTTCAGCATGCTGGTGGGGGTGGGAGGTGGGCCTGGAATTGCTGTGCATCTCTTGAAAGCCCAGTGCCTGCCTCTTTCTGCAAAGTTTGTCGTCTTGGAATTTGGCATGTCTGGGCTGTAGTAGCCCGAGGCATTCTCCTTTTCCATGGTCATCCTGCTGGAGAATTGGAAGTCCTCCTCTTTTTTCTTTAACCAGCTCTCAAACTGGAACTTGGTGGGATCTCTGCAAAATCTGTTTCCTTCATTTGAGAATTTCTGCTATGTTGGCAACTCTGTTTTTCCCCCACAGATTGCATTAATCTCTACCTTGTGAGTTGCTGAAAAAATCCAGCAGAATTTTCTTCTCACAGGCCTAGCCTAGGCTTGGCTTTCCATCCTCAGGAAGCAGGCCTTGCTGAGGAAAATTGTCTGGACACCGAAGTAAACTGTACAGGTCAGGAGGAGGTGGAGGAGGAGGAAGGGAGAGCAGGAGGCTGGGGCAACTACATTCTGGCCTTCACTTAATCTGCCAGTGCAGTTGCTATGGAAATCCCAGTAGCCTAGGGGCCACTCTCCATCTTAGGCTTTGCTCTGGCTTGCTGGGCAGAGGTGATACCTGGCAGCTTTAGTGGCCTTGCCCCCCAACCCCCACTGTGCCTGTGCCTTTAAAGTCAACTGCTCCGTGAGAGCCTGTGTGGTGTAGTGGTTAAGAACATGGGACTGGGACTCAGAGGATCTGCATTCTAGTCCCCACTCAGCCATGGAGCCAGCTGGGTGACTTTGAGCCCATCACAGACTCTCAGCCCAACCTACCTCACAGGGTGGTTGTTGTGGGGATAAGATGGAGGAGGAGAATGATGTAAGCTGCCTTGAGCCCTTTTTGCAGGAAAAAGGCAGGATATAAATCACAATATAAATAAAATAAATAAATCTATTGGAGCAACTTTTACAGAGGAATGAATAGCAAAAGCAGAAAACTTACTGCCTTTTGAACTTCTGCTTATGGTGCTACAGTGAGAGGCATAGTCTGTCCTTCAGGCCACAGCAAACTTGCTGGCTGTTTTTTTTGAAGTAGGAACCAAATCTGCTACTCTGAATTATTTCTTAGAATTATGGGGGTGTTTCGAACAGAACTCTTTAAACTTGCCATGAAAATAGAGTTCTGTTACCACAAGGGATTGTGCAAATTTTCTATATAGTTTTGGTTCTGGTAATCATAGGAGAAGGGGATATGCAGGGGCAACATCCTTACCTGTTCAGGGCCTGCCTTCTGACATTAAGCTTTACCTATATGTTATCAAGTTTATCTTCAAAATTACTGTGGCTGGAAGCTTCTTTGCACATGCACATGCATATGCGAGTTCCAACAAAAACTAAGATTTTCAGGTTAGTGAATCCTATATCTAGTTTAGAAGTCTGTGCTTGCATAGTGCATTTGTGAAGACACTATATCTTTCTTTGTTTCTTCTGTGACATGTAAGTCCAGTTCAAACAGTGTATTTGATGTTGACATGAGTTCACTTTAAAGGGGTATTGGGAGCTTTGCACATGCTGATCCCAGCAACACTGATCAGGTTCACACATAGCAATAACCCAGAGTATGGAGTGAATATGTATTGTTGAATTCTGGATTGTTGTTATGTGTGAATCTAGAACTATGGGTTAACTGTGGATTGTTAACCATAAACAACTGAAGAAGAGACGTCATGGCTTCTTGTTGAACTTTGAATTCTGGATTGTTTTACCTGTGTGAGCCCAGGGTTGTTCATGGGTTGTTTGACCAGGCTATAGAAGTGATGGGTGAGAGAAGAGATGAGCAGAATTGCTCTACATACCAGAATTACAGCTCCACAAAGGCATCTAGGATACAGGAAGAGAGTGATCAAAGGAGGAGGGAGACAGCCTAGGGACTGAGAAAAGCAAGCTGTGCTTTCTGTAATCATATGGCAGACAAATGGCAGGTAAACGCTGGATTGGTATTATATGTAGACCATTATTAGTGTCCAGAGTAGGATGCCTCTTCAGAGAGGAATGATGAGTTTCATGATGGGGTGGAAAGCAAGAATGTGAACATATCTGTTGCATTTGTTACATTGATATGACCAGCTTGTCAGTTTTAAGGAACACCACAATCTCTTCTGAGTAAGGTATGGTAAGCCTGATTTCCACTGGGTTGTGGGGAATGGGTCCAAGTGCAAAAGTAGGGGCTTGAGCCTTGGAAGATTGACTAAGGTGAGCCTTCTTGTTACTGATCTCTTCCCCTTTGCACTTGCAATGACTGAGTTGATACTTTCCCCAAAGCCTTCTAAATAAATAGCATTGTATTTTTTAGGCGGGCCCAGCAAGTCATTCATCAGAACATTTCTCATTAGTGCTACTTTGGGGCTTGGTTGCCTCTCCATTCCTTTGGTCTCAATTTCCACTCCCCCAGGCTTGTTTGACATTTGTACTGGTGTTGTTGTTGTTGTTGTTGTTGTGGTTGCCCTTGTAAAATGGTTTATTTTAAATTGTGAAAAAACCAAGCCCTTCAATACAACTATTAATATCAACCATAATTTTCTAAAAATCTGAAACTTGTGCAAGAACATTGCTTTGCAATTGTTCTTCCTCTCTCCAAGGCCAGATCTTGTCAGGGTAGGTCACTTCTTGTGTTGAACTGCTTCTTGTTCCAGCTGTTTGAAATGTTTGCTTTGTGCTTAGATGGATGAGTGATTCTTGGAATCTGGTGGCAGCATGGAGAGCTAGTGGAAAGGGTCAGTGGCTTGCATTTTTTCCACAAGGCTGTATGAGCCAGGAAAGATTGCTTCAATATGTGTCCATGCTTCAGGAGAGGTATCTGTGTGCATGCACAGATGTGTACTGGGAATTGGGATGCTCCTTGCAGATTAGAGCATGTTTGTCGTAGCTATTTATCTTTGGATTGCTGCTGGCACTACTGCTGTAGAATTCATGATTGAACAGTGTTTGTTTGATGTGCACATCCAGCATAGAGTTTCAGTCATCCCAGGGGTGTATGAAGAAACTATTTCTCTCCTCAATCCAACTCTTCATTTATTTTTCTATTTAAAACGGAAGCTTTCTAGCCTATATGGCTGCAAAGATAGACTTTAAAGTATGTGTGCAAAATCTCCAGAACTTACTCATGTCTGCCTTAACATTAAGTTCACTTTGGGTGTCATGACAGGCCAGCAAATGGCTGCTGCTGCTGCTGCTCGTCATCTTCCTCCTCCTTTTTTCTGTCAGGGACTGGGAAAAGGTGCTTGTGGGATATCCAGGGCTAGAAAAGTATTTCAGGCACCAAAATACTTTTCTAGCCCTGGACATCAGATGCCTTGACTCTCTAGGGGTAGGGAGCAGGAATCATTTGCTAGCAAAATAGTGTCAGATTCCCCTGTCACAACCCTGCCAACTGAGCAGGAATTTCAGTTGTTGGGGGAAGAGGGTTAAGGTTCTGAAGTCCCTGCCTTGCACATCACTACCAAGCAAAATGAGAGGATACGTACCCACCTCAAAACCTGTTACTCAGAATTCTTTATGTTCCTGGCATAAACTGTGATACATAAATCTCTCAACAAACAGCATGAATTGCCCTGTTGCCAAATTTTAATTTGCTGCCAGCACCATCACTATGAAAGGCCTGAGAAAGGGCTAGACAAGTCTCTCTGCGGTTACCATATCTGATAGCCAGAAACTCAGTGCTGATATTTAGAGACTGTCTTCTTCTCTGGACAGGCTCTTCCATAGTAACTCCTTTTTAAAACCTGGTAATAAAATGGTCTTAGATCAAACTTTGAAATGTTAGGAAGGTTTGGATAGAAGAGGAAAGGGAGAAGGAGCATTTATATGCTGGAATCCCTAAACCAAAAACAAAAATGAAAACCACTTGCTTCTGAAAATTTGAAAACATAAGTACTGTATTATAAAATCATTTAAAAATTGCAGTGGCATAAGTTATAAAGGCAACATCTGAAAATAGATAAAGTAAAAAATAACAAGAAGATGATTTATCTGTTGAATATTAATCAGTTCAGTGGGAAACTGGCCAACTAGCTTGTTCCACAAATTTCTGTGAGTTCTTGTCTAAAGAACTGTAGCCATTTTGGGTGCTGCAACAAGCTGAAAACTTGCAGATCTCTCAAAGTGCTGGAAAATCCTAAGTCTCCAGAGACATGCAAAATAAGACAAGGAGGATTGCTGGATGCTTTGTCTTGGACTTCCACTTAACTGTTTGATGATCACAGCTTTAAAATGTGAGGATTAAAAACCTAGAGAAACACAAAACCTTTGCAGAGCTGATGTGGTGGATATTTTCCATCTTGTTGAGAAGTAGCTTTGCATATTCGCAGAAGTGGGTATATGATATTTGCAAAGATAGGATTTTCCAGATTGTGTTTTCCATATGTTTCTTGGATCCAACTGTGTTGCATGTTATTCTCCATTTTAAAGGCACACAGATAAGTTGGTTCTTGTGTAGCCATGCAGTTTAACTAGTATTTGTGATGGCTCCCTTTCAAATACTGGCCAGCCCTCTGTTATACTCCTTTGTCCAGTTTCATGAAATTGGTTTAGCTGTAAAATCTTTTTTGTAGTGTTACAAAATAGTTATTATTGATCCATAATAACATTATGCTGTGCGTATGATCCTCCTGGAAGACATATTATTTGCCCAAATGGACTCTTAGTTTGACCCAGAGTGATGCTTCTTGTTTTGTCCTTTCTCTGCAGCTCTTGGAATATGTGGGGAAGGGGAAGAGCATAATTGATGTGGGTCTTGCACAAGCCCGGCAACCTCTGAGTACCAGGAGTCATTACTTTGAGGTGGAGATTGTCGATCCAGGGGAAAAATGCTATATCGCACTGGGCCTGGCTCGCAAGGTAAAAAGATTTGGTGGGAGAAAGGTCTTGTTTCTTTCTCCTCACCCCCTTTCGCATGTGCATGGGTAAATAATAATCCTGCAACTGCTCAGAAACTCCTGCCTTTGTTGTGCCATCCCACATGGCTGGGGTCTGGATGAAGAATGAGACTGCTACATGACTGTTGTCATTTATTAGTGTCTTCTCCACATGGTTACTACCCTCCCTTCTGGTGTGGTGCTAGTTGGGTGAAAGTGCTAATGTGTGATGAGTCACTGTATGTGTTTCAGCTGCCACATAGAAGCCATGTCAAGCAGCCTCTGTGTAAGGGTCATAACACAGAAGCTGGGCATAAAATGAAGCGATGATACTTTATAAATGAGGTAGCATTTTCTCTGACTGGAGGTGAGTTAGGATACATTTTTATATGAATGACTGTGACAGGGAAATGCCACAACAGGACATATGCCCTGTCCCTCTTCTGTGATTGTTCTTGCTTATGAATGCATCTTCACATGGTGAAATGGGAGCTTTAACTTCAGGAAATCTAAGTACCAAAACCTAGCACTAATTTTCTTGTGGTTATTTCTGATATTCTCCCGTTTGTGGGTGCAGGTTGTAAAAACTAAGAATACCTGCAGATGAATGATGAAGGGACATGACTTTGTGCTGAGGTTTCATTATAAACTCACAATTGCATCAATAAGAAGAGTTAGACCTCCAAAGCCAAAGCCTGAACCCAGTGCACTCTTTTAAAAACCTTTAAAGGAAATTCTTTTCTGCAAGAACCTACACGACAGGAGGAGAGAGCTCAGGATGTTCCTAGCTGTTTTGTGTTCTGCCACAGATCAAGCACTTTGAAAACCCGGAAGCTAGCTCCATTTTCTGACCCTTCCCAGACTTGGGATTTCATCTCTCCTCAGCCCTATCCAGGATTCTTTGTTCTGCACACCTTCTGCTACTTTGAATTGCCTGAGCCAGGCTGCCTCCGTCTTGTTGACTTCCAGATAACAAATTAGAAGCAGGCAGAGCTGTACATTGGGGTTGGGTTGGCGTCTGTTCCTCTTCCTTTCCTGTCAGATGCAGCCATCTGGTTCTGTTGTTTGCCTCCACACATGGCCCGGATTCACGTGGCCTTTGAGGCTGGGCCAGTCCATTCCCTCCTCCTCTTGCTGCAACAAGCAAATCCCAGCAGCCGTGTGAGATCCAAGAAATTAAGAACTGGATCAACTTCCTTTCACCCTCCCTTGAGTTCCTTTCCCTGCAGAAAGACAATTTGCCCCTAAATGATCTGGTGATTCTACATCTGGAGGAGGCGGGGTGGGGGGCATCCCTTGTTCTAACCAGGAGTTTCTCAAACTTCCAGATAGGCAAAGCAGACTCTCCTAGCCTCTTTGGATAATAGTTGGAGGCACACCATTCTCTCTCCAGGGGAGGTTTTCTTCAGAATGTGAATTAGTAAAACTCAACTACCCTCAGAAATCCCTGCCACCTGTGTTTTTTATGGCTTATTTATTGGGGCATGCCTCCAGAAGAATTATGTCACACTGGCTGTGGAGATGTAGCTGGATTACCTGTCCACAGAGACAGAATGATTGAAAGCGGCTGAAGTCAGAATTGTAAATCATGCAGATACACAGCAGGCAGCCTCTTCTTTGAATGGGTAGCTTGGGCTCCTGACAATCTCTTTTTCATTTCTCATGGCACACTCGTGTGTCTTGGTACAGTGTGGCAATTACTGCCCCAAATTAAGGAGTACTTTACTGTTGGCTCTTAAACACATCATGGATTATGTATGTGTAGGAGGTAGGAAGTCTCTTATGTAGGAGGTGGGAAAGCAATATCCCTTTAGAAGTTGTTAGACGTGTCATCTCCCACCAGCCCTATGTAGTATTGAGCTACATAGCTTGTCAATGTGGGAGCAGCATAACTAAAGTCCTTGCTTTCTCAACTCCTTAAGAGCTGAAACTGCTTTAAATTATCCTAGGTCTAACACTCCTTGCATTTTGCCCTGCAAACAATGGGGAGCTAGCATATGCACTGTAATCCAGACTGTGCATGTAGGTGGCCCATCCCTTTTATGAGATCTGCCTTGTATGATGTTTCTGGTGTGCTGACAGAGAAGCTCTTTATACATGAAACATTATTGATTCATTTCTTTTAAAATGGTGTCCTTCAGGCGCTCAAAATAGCTGACTTTAATTAATTCATTTACTTAACCTGTCCTTGCTAAATCACAGTTCCCAAAGGCACCAGGAAGCACCTTCTGAGCCCCACACCCTTTCCCTGTAATCACAGCCTGGTGCTGAGAAGATAAGTGGGGGCGCTTGGTAAACTTGCCATTATTTTTTTTAAAGCTAAATGCACAATTTTTAGTCGGAACACCTTTTTAAAAAAGCAAAAAAAATATTGACAACTTAACATTATTCTGTCAAAAGAAAATTAAACAATAATGCTGCATGACCTGCCCGGTTTCTTTTCTCTCTCACTGTAGGACTACCCAAAAAATCGGCATCCTGGCTGGAGCAGGGGATCTGTGGCCTACCATGCAGGTGAGTGAGGACTGGTAGTGCACAAGAGCCACAGTTAGGGCATAGTGGGAAGGGCACAGTGCTGTGCACATTTCGGCGGAAATTAGACTGACCACTTAGAGCAGGCCCCAGCCAGCCATGCTTGTTTGAGGGCAGGGGCTGGGGGTGGTAGGGTTTATTTATGCATAGGGTTTTACCTTTGATGGCTTAAGGCATGTGCTTACATTTTAATTTATTTTCTGCATTTCCTTTCTTCCTTTAATTCTCTGAAAACAGAACTGGATGGAGAGGTGGGTTATTTATAAACCGTAAAATCACTAAAAATGTTGGGTGTTAAGGCTTTGGTTCTTGTAGCTGCCAACCTTAGATGATCTAAGAATATAGAGTTTTTTTATGGGAGAAGGTATCTCCAGAAGTGAGTAAGCACCCAAACTGTTTAGGGATTTATAGCTGTCGTTCTTGTAATGTCACCAGAACTTTGTAGTGTGTGTAGTATGCTAGGATTACCATTTAAAGCCAAAACCAGCTTGGGGCCAGATTATCTGAAGGAACATCCTTTAAGTACCTACCCATGCACCAAGGTCATCTTCTGGAGTCCTTCTCTGGGAGCCCCCTCCAAAGGAAGTAAAGAGGGTGACTACAAGGAGAAGAACCAGTTCAATTGTGGCATCCTGACTATCCAGTTCCCCAACTAGCTCTCCTCTCTATTTTTTCTTTTTCTTTTTTCTGGTGCCAGGTGAAACCCTTTTTATTCTCCCATATGTTGTCTTTGTTTTTCCTGTTAATACATATAACAAGAAAAACAGATAGTTTAATTTTTACCTTTTGTTATCTGCCCAGAGAGCCTCTGGCTATTGGGCAATATAAAAAATAAAACAAGAAAGCACAGTTCTGTGATTGCACTGCACAGGAACAGAGTTGGAGCACTTGAGCTTCTTGGAAATAGTGGCAATTTTTTGAATGCTGAATGCTTGCATAAAATAAAGCAAACTTGTTTACCATGAGGTGGTAGGGTGGAGAAATGTATGCAGATTATTTATGGTCTCCTAGGCTTGTATATGGAGTGGCTGCTGAAGTCTGTAAGGCTTGTGGGTGGTGTAAGGCTTGAAATCTGAGCAGAACTTTAAAAATTAGGAGCTGTGTCATTTAATTTTTATTTAATTCAGGTTGCAGAATCTTTAGATTTGTGGAGAAATTAGATGATCTTATTTGGAGTGACTTCTCTACAAGTATACACACATCTTGGTTATCAAAGTCACATCTTTGTTCTGCATCAAACATTTGAGTAGTGCCTTTAGCTTCTTTTGTTGGGCAATAACAATGGAATAACTATTCTAATCTTTTAAATTAGGCTCCAGCAGTTAGTTGGCTAATTGATTAGGTTAATTAATGAAATGCCATTTGATCAATTTACATAGACACTCTCATTCAAATGAAATGGCAAATTTTAATTGTCAGTACAGTATTACAGAAAGAGAGAGTAGACAATAGGCGCCAATTCTATGAAAGGGAGAAATGGCTCTCTTGAAAAGGCATCTGCCGCCCATGTTTCTTGCAGCTCCTGCAACTGAGAGCAGACTTAGCTTTGGTAGATATCTGGGTTGCAGAATGCTGTCCGATGCTGCCATTGTACTCCCTTACTTCGATGGGACTACTTCTGAGCAGGCATAGGATTGTGTTGTGAATGCTGCATCACTTATATTTACAGTGATCATGGCTTGTTAATTTTCTAACAAAGGCAATTTGTTCATATGCCATTTTATGTATTTATATGACTGATTTGGCTACAATTTATATAGTTGGATGGCAGCCCTGTGTAGCAAAGGTTCTTCCTCATGTGGAGAAGAGGACAAAGAGGGAACACTCTCTGCCCCCATCCAGCTTTGGAGAGATTGGGGCTCCAGGGAGAGGCTTTACCCAAGGTGTCGCAGGTTGATAGGGCCAGGCTGACAGGCCAGTTTGGCCCACAGGGTGAAAATTTCCTTCTCTGACATAGACAAATGGGTGAATGCTTGGAAAGGTATAACATTGGGCTGGCTTTCTCCTTTGCCAGATTTTTCCCCTTTTTTGGTGTGGAGTGTTTCCTCCAATTTCTTCCCCAGTTTCCTCCAATTGTCAGCCAGCATTCCAGGGCTGTGGAGCGTGCTGTGTCCTCATTGTGCTGTTCTTGACTCCATTCTGCCTCCCTCACCATACACTTTTTCTCCCAAAAGTTCATTTTTTCCTGTTTCTGCAGGAAACAGGGTCTGTTTTGGTTGCATAGGGATCCATACTAGAAGAATGAGTTTGCTAGCAATATATAGGATATCTAAACCACAATTGAGGATTGGCTGTCAGCCAAGCTTTAAATCCACAGTTTGAAGCAGGTTAGGAAATGATGGATTGCATTAACCATTTGCACTAAGCAAGCCATGACCAAGCTTATTTTCTCCACTCTGTATCCTCTTGGCTTTCAAGTGTCAAACAGGTCATAAGATGTGGTACATGTTTAAATACATATGATTAAACATAGAAACAGAGCGAGTCAGAAGGGGTTTCCCGGGCCATCTAGTCTGACCTGGGCAACAGCCAGCTCCGCTCACGACATGTCCACCATGTGCATGTCCATCGTGGAAGAAAAACAAAGCAAAGCACAGCACAGCACCAAAAAACAAAAACCAAAACCAAAACCCTTCGCATCCCAGTGAAGGGAGTCCCTGGACAGCCGGGGCCACAGCTAAGGAACGCAGACAAGGGACGACGCCAACAGCTGAGCTCGGCCTTATCAGCCCCTCAGGCCAGTGGCCCCGCCCCTCTGCTCCCTCCTGGCCCCTCTAGCCTCTCTGGCCACGCCCCCTTCCTCTCTGCTGCTCCTGGCCCTCTGCTCCCCTGCCCAGCTCCTACCTTGCCTTCGCCAGTCCCCTGGCCACTCAGCACTCTCTCCCAGCCTGTGCCTCTGCTGCTCTGCCAAGAGGCCAGAGCCAAAAAGCATGAACTTTGCTTTCAGCAGGAAGATAATTTTCTAGAAAAGAGTCTGTGCATCTTGAAATGTTCAAGATGCTGAACAGTAAGATAGTGTTTCTTCAAAATTGCTGCCTCGGGATATTCTTTAAATGCCACTTACAAGTTATGTGCTATGGTGCACTTTCAGTTCACAGAGCAGGCAACCAAACCCTAGGTATCTCCTCACATGAACTGTAGTTGTACCCTAGGAAACTACCAGATTCTTTCTTTCCTCCCACCCCACCTTCATGTACACAGTACAAAGCAAAATTGCTATTGGCGAAGCTGTCTTTTACATAGGTTTAAAGTGCCATTCTTGATCTTTTTCTTATGGTTATCCTGAAAATCTTCAGAGTATCCCAGGGCTCCTAAAAACTACTGTTTGAAAACATGATTAAGACAAGAATTGTTCCTGAACTGGATTTTCAAGATTCTACCCCAGCCCCCAGGTTTTGTTTCAGCCTTATCCTTGACCAAGATGCAGCATAGCTGGCAGCAGCTTTTATCCCTTGGTTCCATTCTGCACCATATTCACATGAATGTTCCATCCCCTTGGTTCAGCACTTTTCCTTTTTGTAGGTGGTCTTGCTGGGGTTTAGTTCCTGCTCTTCCTTTCCAGAGCTCAGCATGAGAGGAAACTTGAGAGAGATGCTGAAAGCCCTATCTGAGCATCAGTGGCTTCTCAGGTTCCCTTTCTTCTCTTCTCTTACTGCTCCATCACTTTCCTGTTTCTTGAGGTGACTGGGATGTTTGGCAGGTCATTCTGCTCGCATGTGCCTGCTAACTTCAGTGTCATGTCAACAAATGAAGTTGCCAGTTTTGTTGGATCAGTTTGCTAATCAACATGTATCAGTAGGGATTGTGTTGGAATGAGACTTGGGAAATCAGGGGTCAGATCCCAACTCTACTCCGAATTACAACTCTCCTTTTTTTCAAATGGCAGCTTGAGCAATCCAGATCACAAGGTGGTTGGAGCAAGGGAGGTTAAACAGATGAACGAAAGGGAATGTATTTGATTTGTACCCTGTCAGAAATGGCATTTAAGGCAGCTATCTTGAGCTTTATTGCATAGTCAAGCCTGCCTGTGCTGCTCCTAAGCTCTTGTACAGCACCTAAGTTCCCAAACTTAGGAAGTAACAGTTGGTAAAAACAATTCTTACCTTATTAATATCCAGATTTTACAACCAGTGAACATTTAAATACAAATAATGAAAATGTACATGAGTTTGCATAATTTATGGGTTCACAGGGGTGAAGTGCAATTTAAAGTGCAATGCAATTTGCATTGAGCAAATGAAGGTTAAGGCAGTAGTTCTCACAGTAGCTGCAGTGCAAGTTGACAAGCAGGTCCCGATGAAATAGCACCTCCCTCTACACAGCTTGCAGGGACCCCGTTTGGCTTGGTAAGATAAATCATGCCTTCACTTTCTACATGGGATCTTCAGGTGGAAATCCTCACCAGATGCCCATTTTCCTGGCATCTAAGATCTCAGCAGGATCTCACCATCCCTCAGACTTTTAACCTTAAGAGCTAGAAACGTCAAATAAAAACAAAGCCCCAAAGCTGTGTGCCTTAACATGTGCCTAAGTTATAATGTGTACACTTCTATTTACAATATCACTTAGGCTTGCTATACAAATAACACAAAACAGATAAACACTTTGTGCCTCTGGCAACTGCCCATGCTTCTAGGGAAGCCTGCTTCACCATTTGAGACCGGGCTCTGGGGCCAGCTGGCTCATACATAATTGATTTTCCTGCTGTCAGAGCCAGAAACATCCCAGCTTCTCTAGCCTTTACCATCTGTTGTGGGTTGGTTTGTGGTTTCTGATAGCCTTTCTGTGCATCCTTGAACTGAGACTTCTTTTTCTCCTTTCCAATGGTGAACTCACATCCCAAGGAGTCTGATTTTCTGTGTGGACTGAGATCATGTGCCTGTGTGGTTGGTGCTGAGGACCCTGAAGAATTGATCCATGGAAACTCAACATCTATCCAGAGGTTGCCTTCCATGGCTTTATGAGAGTGAAGGGAAGATCTGGGTCTCAAGCTGGAGTAGCAAAACAGCCACTGAATGAATGGTTGATGTATTCACCTATTTACTGGAGAATGCACCATTCATTCCCCTTGAGGGGTTGGGGGGAGAATTCCTAGTCCTTGGCCCCATACTGGGATCCCATATTGAGTGGATCCCTTGGGTGGCAGGAGCTTTTTTGCTGACCTTGATTCCAACTGCAGGCTTTCTCTGAGGCAAAGACTGCATGTGTTAGCTTCATGTGCCTTATTCTAGTACAACCAAATTGCTTGCTCAAGAGTAAGCTGAGAATGTACCTGGGTCAATTGTTTTAGTTGTACTAGAATGAAATATCAATATTCTGTAGCATGAGGATGCTCTATAGTGATTGGGCAATTTTTCTGAAAATAGATTGCTTCTTTCAACCATTAAACAAGGTGCCAAATATTTTACAGATCATCTTTTGTATCCTATTAGAGTTAGATTCCCCTTTGTCGTATTTCCATATATGAGATGTCCGTGGTCTTATCTGATTAATTGTATTTGGATGAGGTTCCATTCCTATAGCTTGTTTTTATAGGAGAGGTTCTTGCAACAGGCTATCCTTTCTGTGCACATTTTGCTTTGTTGGGTGAGACTGGCTGAGGGCCATTAAGTGGATAATGGATTCTCCTTCAGAGAAGTAATAGTCCTGGGTCTTTTTAAGGGTACCCTTGCATCTATATTCCAGAAAACCCCACAAACCTCCCTGGTTCCTTTGGATTCAGAGTGGAAACTTACTGGCTGATTTTAAATTGCGTCTTGTCCAGAAACTGTATAAACCTGCTCTAGGTTCTCTTGAATATTTATTTTCTGGATTACTTGCAGCCAGAAAACTTCTGTCTACAGAAATTTGGTTGCAGAAATTGGGTCAGAAGCTGACTTGATTAGGCTTCTAATCAAGCTTCTAATCAAAATGAAGACCTTTTCTGGGAGACGTGTCATGTGGCCTCTTTGGTCAATTAGCAATGAAATTTAGAAGTTTCGTGTTCTAAATTTTCATGTTCAACCATGTTCATCAAGGGGATCCTGTCTTTTCATTTTTAAGAAGACTGTAATTGTCTTTGTCTTAACTGACTGCTAAGAAACCTAACATAGTGGAAGCAGTTTCTGTTCCAAGGTCTGGGCATACTGGATGGAACTGGCTGCTAATATCAGTCTTGGATGGGAACCCTATTTAAGAATGCTGAAGAAGATAGTCCTAATTCTGGATCCCACACCTGCTACTGAAAAAACAGCCTTGCTGGGAAAATAATCTGCCTGTCAGTTTTAGAGAGAGGGGTCTTTGAACATAACTCACTGGGTGCGGGTGGGTGAGTTGCAGGTGGGAATGATAGAGATCAGCCTGGTGATTCCCCTAATATGTGAAAACAGTCTAAATGATCCTGTTTGGAGTAATAACTGAGACTGAGATCCAGTTTACATATGCAGCAAATAAGGAGGTAAAATGGAATGTACAGCTTCTGGTTGCAAGTGGGGGATCCATCCCCCACCCAATATATGTTAATGCTTTTTTATGTTACAACAAACACATGCAACTTCTTGCAAGTAGAACAGGAGAGTGTGAAAGAGCCTTTCTCTCTGTTCCACTAGTTGTTTGTTTTACTCATGGGGAGTTTTAAGGAACAAGAAGGAAGGGAGCATTTAAACTGACATGGCTCCCATGGCACCCAAAGTCCTTATGATTATGCAATCAGTTGAGAAAGCTGCTACCTTATTCTGCTGAATATGCAGATTAGATAACCCACTCTTCCTTTCTGAAGGGCTTGAAGTAACAGGAGGCTGCAGCACTTGAGTGGAGGGGTACAGAGCCAGGCTCTTCCCCCTGTCAGCCCCATGGGCCTGTCTCTCCAGTCTGCTGCTGGTTTGATCCCCTTTCCTGTGCCTGCTGAGCAGAGGGGATTCCCTAAAAGGCTCTGTGGCTGGCCAGCCTTCATTATTTTAGACACACTTTGGAATGTTTACACAACATTATTCCCAAAGTTTCCTAGGCAACATGGAGAAATATTTACTGCCCTTTTGCCGAGCAAGCCTTCTTCCTTCATGGAGACAAAGGGCCTTGGCCACGTGCCTTGTGTTCCGGGCGCCCGCATCCGCTGCATAGCTGAACTTGGAGAGACAAAGCCAGTGCCAAGGCCTTTCAAGTGGTCTGCGGCCCCTTTCCCCCGCTCCTCTCTCCCTTTTGTTCTTGTCTGTCTGGAGGCAAGGAACTGCTTTGACCACCAGGTTCCAAACTTGCCTGGCTTTGATCATGGTTGGCAAATAAGCGTCCCCGTTCTCCCCCCAACCGTCCCTGTTCTCCATAGGCCTGGCAGGGCAGTGTGCCTGATTAAAATAGTTTGTTTAGCCCTGAAGGGACTGTATGGTGAATAGGTATTATGAGAAACTTTCTCAACTTTCAAGTTCTGGGGAGGTTTATGTACTCAACCATCTTGACAAATATGTTTTAGGAATCGAAACCAGCTCTGTCTGAAATGTAGGCTATTTACAAATCAAGATTTAGAATTTGTTACCCTCAGGCTGTTAACCTGAGATATGCAACCCATGTTTGCTTAAACAAAGAATTTGTTGCTCCTGGCTTATTGGTACCAGCTACCTACCAGTAATGATGAACCTGCAACACTGGATGTTTTATTAGAATGATAGTTGAGTAGAAAAATGCTGGTCATGTTAAAACATCTTTTACTTTGTCTTCTCCTTCTTTGCTTCTGCCTCTTGTTCACCACTTAACTGTACAAAACAAAAACTGTATTAAGTGTGAGCTGAAGGACTGTTATCTCGATTTAAATCAGCCTTGCAAATAAGCTCACAAATATTGGTAGCCTGCAAGAATGTTTCCTTGGGGGCTGGGAGAAGAGAGAAGAGCTGTCACTCCTGCAGCAGCCTGCTTCATGTGGATGCTGGACATGAGGAGGGGACCTTGTCCAGCTTCCTCTGTTTCTATGCCTACATCCTGGACATAGTGCTTCATCCTTCTTCCACCTGCCCATTTACTTGCCTGTAGAGAATTTCAGGGACTCACCTGTCCATGTGCTCACCTACATGCAGTTCTGTGTCACCTGTGGCCACCAGGATAGCACTTAAATGTAACACTGACGGGCTGTGTGAGCCTTGCTCTGTGGATTTTCCACTTCCAGTGAAGAGAAGGAAAAACTATGGCTTCTCATCTGCCCCCTGTTTGCTTAACTAGGAAAAGGGAAAATGTTTAGCTTCTCACTAGTCTGCTTTTTCTTCCTTTTTTCTCATCCGCCTGTCCATTTTTTTCTTGGCTTTGGTATAATATAGCCTAGAAAAATAGAGTCAATCTGAACTTCTACTTGTTTTTTCTTATTAACTTTTTTGTTGAACTTCTGAATATTTGATGAGGGGAGGACCTTTTCTCAAATAGTGAGACTTATTTGTATGAAAATCTAAAGCGCTTTGCTCCTTTTTGAAGAAAAGCCTTGAACTCTAACAGAAACTTGGTCTGAGCTGCACAAGAAGTTCCAAAGACAGAACTTTAAGGCTCTGGAAAACTCTGCAGCCCCTGAGTGGACAGGCTGTCATGCAGGGAAACTCCAAGAATATGGAACAAAGGGGCTCCTGAGTTTGTCTGACCAAGCAGTGGGAAACCTTGCAATACAAGTGAGCCCAAAACTTAGGCAAAGTCTCTTCTTCGCTATCCCCCCATAGACTGCCTTCCCTTGCTGCTTTCTTCCATCCCACCCAAGCAACTGAACCAGAGCTGGGGATAAGGCTTGAATGGACAGTCTGTCTTGCCTCCACTTGGGCTTTTTTGCTGCTAGCATTTCAGCTTGCTGATATTGTGGGCATTGGCTGGGATACTCAGAAATCTCCCATGCTCATTGGTTACTACATTTTATTCCAACCTCTACACTCTCTTCTCTTTTGCAGACGATGGCAAGATCTTCCATGGAAGTGGAGTGGGGGACCCCTTTGGTCCACGATGTTACAAGGGAGACATTATGGGTTGTGGAATCATGTTCCCACGTGATTACATCCTGGACAGTGAAGGTGAGCACCAGGACCCTAAATAATGTCACCATGAAGCAGTAATGCGGTGCATTGCAGGAGGAGGCTCTGGGTCACTCTGTATGCATGCTGACAGAATCTGACTTAGTGTAGTGAGCTTCTGTAGGCTGCATGCCCTTGAGATTGGCAGACAGCAGGACCAAAGGTGTCCCACAACTGTCCAGTGGGGTGTGTGGATGAATTGGCAGCTGTTAAGACCCTTTGGTCTTTCTCTCCTGCAGCACAGAGTGGATAATACCATCTTTGCAAATACATCCATAAGCTGTGCTTGCAGACTGAAAGCTTGCAGTGGCCCACACATTTGTGTGTGTCATTTATGGTTGGAAGTGTGTGTGTGAGGGAGGGAGGGAGAGTAGTTTGATCAATCCATCTTCAGTATCTGGAAGCACAGTTGACCACATGATAAGCTATGGTACAAACCTGAATTAAAGGGATACAGAGCTGTTCTGACATCAGATCCTCATATGTCCTTGTCTGGCCTTACTAGTATGTTTGGTAGTGCCCTGTGTTGGATTGTTTCTGAACTTGCAGAGCTGTTGGCTTTACTTTGCCCTTCCTCTTGTGGAGCCTGCTGGGATAGCGTTGCTTCCACTTGGTTGTGCTTCTAGGGAAAGGGAAGCACCTTCATTCTGGAAGGAAGTGCTGGACAGATGAATGGTGAAGGAATTGCTCTTTGCCATTTGATTTGAGAGGGAGGAAGTGGGAGGAAGCTTGCTACTGAGCTTTGGTGACTGAGACTTACAGAATGTAATAATAAATATTGATCTGAGTTGGAGCTGAACTGTGGCTAGCAAGCACACAATACACCACTTCAAAGCCTGTACGTTAAGGATCTTTTTGGGTGGAGTTTGCTTCACTACAAGAGTTACACAGCTTTGTGGGCATCCTGCAGGTGACAGTGACGACAGCTGCGATACAGTGGCTATCCGGGCCAAGCCACGGGGGGTGAGGAATGTTCTCTACTTGCACCAGGAAGCTGAGGAAGATGAGGATGAAGAAGATGATGGGGAAGATATGGAGCAGGAACACGAAGGCAAAAAAGTGGTGGTAAGTGCCAGGAATGCCTGCTGATGAGGCCAGGAGAGGCTAAGCAGCCTTTCTGTGTGAAAGCCAAAGCAGTGGGGCTGCAGACCTGGGGACTGTTGCAAGCCAGGAAGCTGTAGGAAGTCAGGGTTAACAAAATGTAGTTTTAAAACAGGAGAATAGCAGGCTGTTCCTCTCACAATCCTTACGTAATGCTTACGAGAACAGAGCAACTTAGGGTCAGAAGTGAGAGACAGTGTAGGGGTAGGGAATTATCCTATACATTCCAGAAAGGCCATTCCAGTGTGGGTGCTACAACCGAGAAGTCCTGCTGTGTGTTTGCTGTGCTTTCCACTCGTGCAGTGGGTGGTACAACTGACAGCCTCCTCTAGGAACATAAGAAGATGAGTAAGGGGTGGGAGGAGCCTCCTGTGCGATTCAGAAGTCAGGTCTTCTCCTGCTTTAATGGCTATTGACTGGACTTCTCACAGTGTGTGGGAAGTTAGATGAGTGGATCCCTGCTTCGAGTTCTGCACTGAGCGGGTTGTTGGACCCGATGGCTTTCTTGACCCCTTCTAACTCTTCTATGATTCTGTGGCAGAAGATGCTTAATCTACAGTTGCTGCTGGGGGCACAGGAATCGGCCTCGATCTTGGAATTCAATATCCTAAGGACCTAGGCTTGCACTTGGACCATGCTCATGTGGTTTTAAAGTTTTTAGTCATGGCTGCAAATGTAACTGTATGGTAATGCCTGATTAAATGTTAGGGTGGGGAAAGGAATATGCAGGTTTTCTACTAATCAGGACTTGTTTCATTACTTGCTCTTTCTCATGATGCAGGAAGAGTTGACTTAAAATGAGCAAATGTCCTTAACTTACATAGCCTGGAGACAGTGTGGTGTAGTGGTTAAGAGCACGGGACCAGAACTCAGGAGATCTGGGTTTGAGTTTCCACACAGCTGTGGAGCCAACTGGGTGACTTTGGGCCGGTCACGGACTCTCAGCCTTACCTCCCTCATAGGGTGGTTGTTGTGGGGATAAGATAGAGAGCAGGGGAAGGAAAATGATATAAGCTACCTTGAGTTCCTTGAAAAGAAAAATAGTGGGATATAAATCTAATAAATAATAAAATATTTTATGCAGCTCAGAGAGCTCTACCCCACCCTTGCAAGCTCCTGTGATCCCCAGGCATTGCTTGTGCACTGTAAGGGTCGCACTTTGCAGCCATGTCTGCAACAAACATGTTTTTTTTTAAGTTGTGTCCCCTCATGATGCTGAATTCTATGTCTGTGGACAAATTCATTCCAGTGCTTTTAATGCATGAGCAGAGCATATTCTCATCTCTGGTGGATGTGGTCCCTGGAAAGTTCAGTGAAGGGTGTGGGCTTCGGCCACTTTAGTCTCTGCATCAGGGTGGATAGCCTGTGCTGCACGCTGAAGCTGCCACCCTAGCTTGCAGTCAGAGAGGCAGAACTCCCCTGAGCTGATTTGCCTGGGACAGGCCCAGCTGACCTGAGTCCCAGCAACTTCAGTGAGTGTAGGAGAGGCACAGGTGGCAGTCATCTGCCCAGCAGCTGGTTTGATGCTGGCCCCTTGCAGTTTGCTGCTGCTCAGTTCCTGGTGTTCCTGTAACATGGGAGGAGTCCTTCCCACTTTTCTGTGATTGACTCCTTGCCTATCCTCACTTGCCCTGGACTAGGCTGCTTTTCTGTGTTTAGGGCGCTTCCTAGTGACTGCTGTGAGCAATGCTCCTGGGTCCCTGGCTTGAGGATGTCTTTCTCCTTCCTTCAATCTAGAACATCTGTATGTCTCTTAATTTATGCCAGTAGCTATGCTCATAGAGTTCCCAGTGCTGAAATGTGTGCCACTTAATGTTCACTTGCCAGGGTATGGAACTTACGGTGCATATAGCTAGGAGTGCATCCACATGAATGACTCCACATACCTACACATTTTGAATTGAGTACTAAAACAGTTCATGTCTTTCCTTCTGGGGTGTCTGGGCTTAACAACCTCTCCTGCAGATTGCCATTCTTGTCACGACCTCACAAAATGCCAAGCTATGCTGTTGGAAGCCCTGTATACTTTTAACACTTGCAGGATTGTGCTGCTTCAGGATACACATGAAGTGAGGTGGTGTCCGTGTTCAAATGCTCCCTTATGGGGAGTAGAGCACCACTTCTTGCATGTTCAAAGCTAGCATTTTAGTGGAAGACAACTGGTAACATCCCCTCTCTCTGATATGCTGGCTGTACTTGTGGGGGACATTCATACATTTACTCTCCCCACCTGCCGTCTGAAAGCCTCCCACAAGAGGCACATCAGGTAATGCTGCTGCTCATAGCAGGGCCTCCTTCATGCACAAACAGGCACCTGCATATTAGAACTGGCACACCTGGAAAACAGCTCAAGGTAGATTTGGTTATGATCTGGCTTTCTTGAACCTTGATTAGGATTTGGACAGAAGGTTCCAGCTGATGGTCCATTTTTTAAAAGTAGTGTTATATTTACACCTCTTTAACCAACCAGGGCTCATTGAGTCTCGCATGCAGTCCTTTATACTTGTGCACGTGACAAATCAATTTGTATCTTGGAAGGTTTCTCCAAATATCAAGTTTCTCTCCTCTCCTCTCCTCTCTTCCCAGGTGTTCTTCACACGGAATGGAAAGATTATTGGCAAGAAGGATGCTGTGGTGCCCTCTGGTGGTTTTTACCCCACTATTGGGATGCTGAGTAGTGGGGAGAAGGTCAAAGTGGATCTACACCCACTCAGCGGCTAAATATCAAGGACTGGAGAGCCTGTCTCTTTCCTTCTGCCATCCCATGGGACTGCCAGGTTGCTTGGGCTGTTCTTAACTTCCAGCCTGTACTTCCAGGGGCAACATTTTTGTCTGTGGGGCCATATAGATAATACCTGTTTAGCTAATACCACCTGAGCCGCCTATCTTGTACCTTTTCTGCTTGGTTGCAGCTACTGTTGGACTCTGTGCTGCTGCTGGATGTTGGAAAAATATTGAGGCTCTTCTTCCCAAGCAGGCCTGGGATTAGTTCCTAGGAGAGGCCTAATCTATTCCCACTCATTCTGCTTGGGGTGGTTCAAGTTTGTGTGTGGCTGCTGCTTTCCAGTCTTTGGAAGAGATATCGGGATATGGCCTGGCCAAGTCCAGTGCTGATGCAGGGGTGCAGTGTCCCATTTTGTGCAGAATAGCATCAGTTGCAGTTGGAACAGTGCAGCTGTTCTCTACAGTTGCTAGGGACTTTACATTTGCATACAATACGTTGGGCATCTGTGACCTCACCCTCGCTGCAGGCCAGCCTCATACAGTCTGAGTTCTAACCTGTTTTTCTCCAACCCTCTTACAATGCAGAAAATCACTTTGCCACCGTATATGCACCCTCTGATTAAAAATTTACCATGTGGTTGCATGGGTCTGAGAAACTGCCAGGACCCTGCCACCTTTCCTGACGGGGGGTGCTATGCTAGTTTTGGGGATGGTGTAGCAAATATTGTAGAGCTGGGTAAGAAATCTTTCTTGGATTGTTTCTTCTAAGCCCCAACACTTCTGAACCCTCCTTTATGTTAACCCTTGAAGGAGAATGCCCTGCTGGCCTCTTGTCGCTACTATTTCACTAGCATGTCGTTTCCCTGGTAGCTGCCCTGGAGAAGGGCAGGGCTGTGTGATGCTTGGAGTGATCTGCCCTCTGTCGTCTGCTTTCCTGAGCCACAGAAGGTCCTCTAATAAAGAATATATGCAGGGCCAACCTGGTTGTTGGAAGGGCAGTACTTGACCTGTGTGCACTGCTGCTGCTGCTGATCTCTGTACTGTCGCTGTCGTTCTTTTATAAAGTAGGGGTGGAGCAGGGGTATGGGGCATGAATTATGTCCTGCATTTTGATTGTAAAGTGTTTGCTCTTTGGCCCGCCTTCTCTTCCTTGCAAATTAAGAAGGGTTGGTCCTTCATCTGTATTGCTGCCTGCTTATTCATTCACCCTCTGGGTCCCTTGTCCCATGCATCGTGCTTGCTCAGCTGTAACCCTTTCTTTGTTGTGGCTTTGATGTTAACAAAAGCTCCTTGGAAGGGTGAAAACCTGTTATGATGCCATTTTGGGTATATGTGGCTGATGAGTGGCAGGAGAAGCCAAAGAGTAGCAGCTTCTTTGATCTGGGGGGTGGGGGGTGGGAAGGTGAAAGACAAGTCACTACTTTACCCTCTCTGGCCCTGTTGGGTCAAGGGCAAGTCTTGCTGCTAAGATGAAAATGTTCTGGGAAACTGAAAATTGAAGGTAACAGTCCAGAAAACTGTTGCACTGGCTCCCCCTATGGGGGCTCAGTGCCTGGCTTTGTTGTGATAGTCTTGTTTTTATAAGTTGGTAGGGTGGGAGCAAAAGCATCCATTTGTGGTTCTCTCTCTTCGTGAATGTCAATCAATATGCTACCAGCAACACTCCCTAACTCTTGAAAGTGTGAGAAGACTGCCTCCATCTGCAGCCTTAACCAGTGTTGCCAATGCTGATCTCACTGGTGGATGCTTTCTGTCCCCCCCACTGCTGAAATTGTATCTGGGAGCAGAAGAAAGCATGGGGAGGGTGCCTACACCCCTTAGAGTCTAGCTTTCCCCATCCTGATGTAATTCCGCACATCTGGAGGGCAATTCCCAGCATCCCTCAGCCAGCTGTGCTGGCTGTGGCATGCTGGCATTGTAATCCAACAAAGGTTGAAGAAGGCAGCCTTGGAGAGAGCTGGAATACTGTTTCTCCAATCCTCTTGCACAGTCCATCTCCTGGGCTATGCAGACCCATAGATTGCTGATCTGAACAGAGTCATCCTCTGTCCAGTTCTGTGTTCTTCCGGCTCCTGCTGCACCTCTGGAGACAGAATCTTTATACATTCAATAAAATTGAAATTTCCATATTTATCCAGCACTTGAAAAGGCTTCTGGCTTGTTTACTTTGCATCAACCACTCTCTCTCCCCCTGAAAATGTTGCATCATTTCAGGAAAAATGCACAGGTAAGTGATAATCTGTTCAGCAGAACTAAAGCACACCACTGGCATGTTGCTGTAGTATGGGGATTACTTTTCCAGTCTTCTTTTTTTTTTTAAAGTTGGACTTTCTGTTCCAAGAGAAAAGACTGAAGTATGTTTGGTGTCCCTGTAAAACATGTGTGAACAAGCTATGGCTGCTCTGTAATAAAAGCTTTTTCTCACAACAGCTGAAAAGTAGGAGCATTCATAAGCCCTTGTGGAACAGCAGAAGGATCACAGTGGCAAAATCTAGTTGTTAACTATGACAGGTTCACTGAGACACCAAATGAATCAACACTAGAATGCTCAGCTGTGTTTCTTTTGATGAAACCTACATTTGTCCAGGATGCTGCACACCAAAGCAGCAAGTTAATGAATACAGCTAGAATGGATCCAAAGTGGCACCCTCATTCCGGCTTGAAACCACTTTGACAGGGCTGCAGAACCAATGTGAACCCAAAAGTGAATTCAGTTTTGTTTGGGGTTGTCTTCTGGTGATGAACAGGGCCCAAGTCAAAAACAGGTTCTCCTAAACTCCACAGAAACGCTACCATGTTTTTGCTTAAAGGTCTTGCAGCCAATAATTGAGCTTTAAGGTAGGCATTTCATCCTTTCAGAAAGCAGGAAAAAACTCTACAAATTTGGGAAAAGACCCAACAATTGGGGGTTGGAAGAAAGGCTATTTGAAGAATTCTGGGGGATTGGAGAGGGAGATGGAGTCTGTGGTTCCCCACTGATGTGCTTGACAAAGTCCAGATGAATAAAGCAGCAGCACCATTGGTTATGATGCCTGGGGCTGATGGAAGTGGATATCCTGGGGGGCCACAAGTTGCCTGCAGCTGTGAAGGATTCTGACCGGGAAAAACTCCAGGCCTTACCTGGCACAGCTTGCCTTTCTCCTCTGCCCCCATTCCCAAATAAAAAAGAGATAACCTGAGGGACCTGAATGAGGAAACAGTGCCGACACGGAGAGGCGAAAAAGTAAGACTGGCAGTCTGGGTGCCTTTTTTTTCCTGTGTTGATTCTGAATAAACAGGAATTGTATTGTCATTTATACAGGAAGGAGAAAATACAGTTATAAAAAAATAACCAAACTTAGTATTGCTGCTTTCTCCCCCCCTACCCCCATATAGATATATATTATCAAGACATCTCTGGCTAACATTCATAGATAAATTCTTTAGTAGACAAAAATAGAAATCTGTTCTAACCCAGCCCTCCCTTTTTCCCTACTTCAAGGAACTGAGGGCTAACAGCAGAGCCCCCTTTTCACCAGCCATGCTTGCCTTCTCCCACTAATGTGCACTCTCAAATAATCTAGCCAGCCTCCCTTGCTTCAGCATTGGAGGTGCCTAAAAAGATGAGATGCAGATACTCCTCCAAGCACAACTCTTGTGCTTCTGGTATTTTCTGGTGCTTTCTATATTTCTCACCAATGAAAATTAAATCAAAATAGCTATTGTCCACACTATTCATATATCATCATACAATTCTCAATTTCTTTGTTGTCACTGTTTTTTTAAAACTCACCAAGGGTCCAGTCCAGGGATAGGCAACCTTTTTGGGCTGTGGCCACATTCATACAACTGTCCAGAGCACTACTGCAAAACTGTTATCAAAGGAGCTGTAGCAAAGGCGAGGTCACTTGTACAGAAAATTCAGTGGTTCTTAAGCCTAATATATTAAACAATCTCTTTGAAGCTATGGGTTCAAGCACCAATAGCAAGCTAGTTCACAGAAAGCCCAACTGTGAAGAATAAAATATGTTAACCTGAAACCAAATTGGAGAAATGGAGTTTCTTGGTAAAGGCCAAGACAGGTGTCAGAAGGTGCCCCATGGCCTTCTCCCACATTCAGTCCTCTTACTAGTTAAGGAAGACAAAGCCTAGAAGTAGGCATCAGTGCTTGCTAGGAAAAAAATTCTGTTCCACCCAGAACAAGTGTGATGCAGGGCCTTTGGCAGGTCAAGATTTCTGCATTTCATGCACTTCTGTGTTCCTCCCTTTACTCATTAATCCTGGTCTTTACATCACTTAGCTTCCTTATGAGAACTGCATGCAAAGGAGAACAGGCCTTCTGTCCCTCTAATAAGAGAGGGATTTTTGGAAAGGTGGGGAAAAAAAGAATTGAACCCCACATTTTTAAATAGGTAATCTGGGACTTCAAATTGCTGGAACCATCTGCCCAATTTAAAAGGTTTTTGCCTTCCCAAAAAATTGAACTTCACACATCTTTTGCATCAGTCATAAAACTTAAGAGCAAAAAAAAGTAATTGTCTTATTAGCTGCCCAGAATCAAGTGGCTGAGAGCTTAACTATAAATTATATACTAAAGCCCAACAGATGCTTTTTCTGTGAGAAAAGTAAATTCAAGAAAGTGATTTATAAGGGATTGGGTGCTTTAACCATTTCCTCAATAGCCTGATACCTGAAAGTCCTCCAGAACAACCATCCCAGCTTGAATGCCTCCAGATATTTTGTGTGTGACCTCTTATCAGCCCCAGTCAGCATAGTCAATAGTTGGGACCTGTCACCCAAAATATCAAGAAGACTCCAGAGAAAGTCCTTGTACTTGAAGACTCCTTGTATTTATACAAGGCTATGTCACTTGTTCTAGAAGCCATACAACAGCTTTTGAAATTGCTGCTGCTATAAAGAGGATGCTGCTGTTTTCCTCTGATGGGGAATTTGTTTTGTTTCATTTGAGTCATTTGTAAGTCTGCTTGGGGATAAATGGGAATTGAACTTGGGCAGGTCCAAATAATCCAAACCTAAGCCAAGAACTCAGTATTACTGCTTTCCTGTGCAAGCAAACATAAGAACCAAGATTCCTTGGTTCTGCTCCTAAAGCCTACACTACTGCTCCCTTATAATTGGCTAGAACCTGGGAACAGAGCCCCCATTCTCTTCTGCCTGTTAGGCATATGCTGCCTCTACAAGGCTTTGATGCGCTGCAAACTAGGTACCCTCTCTTTGTCAATACAGCTGACTCTCTCAGCCCTGCTCTTTGCACCCTTTAGCACATACAGTTGCCTGTTGTCACAAATGTGGCTCCATTATAGAATTGGGTGGCCAAAGTACTCCTGAGCATCATGGTCAGAGGATGTTTCCAAAAAACAAAAAACTTTTATTGTGCTGTCATCCTGCCTCATTAACCCCTTTTATAGGGCCCAAGTACCATTGTCTACGATTTATTTCCACACTGTTCTTTTTGCTTGGTGGAGGGACACTATTATTCTATTACCTTGTCTTTTAATTGGGTATGCTAGGAGCCCTCTGTCTGGAATGCTTATACATTAATAGCTTTTGACCTAACCCATTTGCTCAGCACCCTGGAAACCACCTCGAGTGTGGCCATCCCTGACAGAGTTTGCTTATTTTTATAGATTATGCTTATAGTGCTTTTTGCTTCAATCAGGTTTTCTTTGAGGAAACAAAATCTGCATTGGCCAGAATGCTCATTTGCCTCTCCCCATTTTCTCCTCCCCAAACAGCCTAAAAAGAGTCCCACCCCTTGCTGTCTATCTTAGACTATTTACATGTCCCTGTGTTTTTCTGCTGCGTGTATAATTCTTTTCACCTACTGTTTACAGCTAAAACTCAGCATATGAGAAGTAAGCAAAGAGCCACTGCTTGATCAGAGTCTTTTTCATTACTTAACTCATTCACTTTATCCAAGATGCAGATTGGAGGTTGCAATAAGTTCAAGGATTCCAGCCCCATGATAGCAAATTGCATCAATCTTATCCCTGGGCAGACTTTTGCAAGGGCCAATGCTGGACAAGGTATAGATGCACAGGTATCATCAGAAACTGAAGTCTTTCTGCTTTGAATAGCAGCAGGGATTAGGAAAGTAATGAAAAGCCAGCTCTCAGCCCTCAGCTGGCTTGGCTAGGACCAAGAAACTGCTAGGGCTGGCAAAGAATAAAAAGGGGAGAAAAGGAGGGCAGTTTTAAAATATTTAGGATTCCAAAACACTGAAGACCTGCCTTGCAGCTGTAGCTTGTCAAACTTTTACCATGAATCATTGGTTCCTAAGCTGAACACCTGCAAATTTAGATACTGATAAGTCTAATGAGAATTTACAGTCATGTTGGACTGATCTTCATGTTTGGAGGCAAATGAGAAGTTGGGTGCTCTTTCTCTGCTGTCATGTGGCAAGCATAGACAAAAGCAACCCTAACCTTTCCCCTTGTTACCCTCTTGCAGCCTCTTCCCACCCAGCCACCTCCCCCCCCCCCCCACTGTTGGGGGACATTTTGCTTCTGCAAAAAGGACATACCCCCTCACAAGTTTTCCAATAGAGCAGCGGCCTGCACACTTCCCAGCACTGTGTTTGCCACCAGATTATATACAGTGGCTCTTAAATATGCCCAAGCCACACCTTGGCTCTGCAAATGGAAAAATCAGATATGCTCCTTTATGCAGCTTCATGCCTGCTTTCATGCTTGCAAAATCATGTCAAGACATTCACCTTCCACTGTTTGGGTAAGTTAAAGTAGGTGCACACTCAACTTCCTTTTTTTCTGCACTCATTCTGCTGGCCTATAGGAGTGGGGAAAAAGTGGGAAGGGCAAGGGAAAGGATAGCAGAGTCCTAGAAGCATCATCATCTAGGCCTGCCAACCTGCCCAAAAGGACCTTCTCCCCATATTGTATGGGATCCTGCATCACACTGTAGATGGCATGGACCACCTGGGGAGTCATCAGGGATGCAGGACAAGAGATCTGGTGCAACCTCCCGGCAGCCTTCATCTTCGGTGAGTTCCCAGCATCACCTTGGTGATGAAATTGACAATGGCGGACGCTGGTTGCTCAGGGTCTAGTTCAGCAAAGAGGTGGCAAATATTCTCACATGGGCTGCCCTGCTTCTTGGCCACAAAGCCGAAGATCCTGCAAGAGACAGAGCACCGAAACGTGAGTGTGAGGCTCTGCATACACAGGACATGGGGTCATCAGCTCCCAGCCTGATCAATGCCCCACTCCCCATGCAAGGCAGATGAGAAGTGGGACTGTCATCACAGGGAAGCACCCAGAGCAGAAAGCCACAGTGCAGCTCTGGGCATCTGACTCCCTCCTGCCACCCCCACGGTTCTTGTGCTGCAGCCCTTTGGCTCGTCCTCCTTCCAGAGTCACTACAAACTTGGCTGTTGGTGCCTGCTGTCTACAGACACGGCAGGGTGGCCGAGGGAGCTCTCAACACTGACACCTCGGAAAGAGGGAGACAGTACCTGCTGCACCTTTTAATTTTATTTATTTATTTAGTCCCAAGCTATTTATGTCCTCAAGAGCCAATTGCTAGCACTGGAAATGACCAACGCCATATGGAAACCATTTCAAAGCTGACAGAAAATGTCCCTGTAGCCCGGCCTTCCCCAGCACAGTATACTTCAGCTAGCTGTATTGGATTATGGTCCTTGTCAAGCCCTGGTCAGTTATGCTGGCTGGGAGATGCTGAGACTTGTAATCTAACACACCTAGAGCACACCAGTTAGGGGATACTCAGTTGCAAGCAGCCCCTGTTCATAGTCTCACTGCAGCTGTATTTGGGACTACCGAAAGTTTTGGAAGCCTAGCGGGTTAATTCAGAGGTGGGAAGAGAGAAAAAAACATCATCCCTTTTTAAGCTCTGACAAATGACTTCTTGCTCTGAAGCGGGCTGGACAGAAACAGAGGGAAGGGTGAAAGGTGAAAAAAAATTGCCCTCCCCCAGAAGGGACATTTTGAATAGCTTGCTTATGGAGCAAGATGGAGGAGATGCCTGCTCTCCTCCGTGGGTGTGAAAACATTTGGTTGTGGCACCAGATCCTTTGAAACAGGTCCCCTAAGTCTGCCTGGGATCTGCATGGATTTTTAAATCAATTCATCTAAACCCAGTCAACCAGCTCAACGCTATAGCCTTGCCAAGTTAGAACTACGGTGGTGGTCGGGAAAGGGCCTCCTCGATACAGTCTGGCCCCAGCAGGGCATGGGCCCTTCCAACATTCCTTGCTGCTTGCTGCTGTGTAGGATGGATGCAGAAAGAATGATGCTAGGGGTTGTTAGCAAGTTTGCATCATGGCTGTGGGTCTTTCTGATACTTACTTGGATGTGGTTCCATCTGGGTTGGCCCACCTGTGCAGGAATAGAGAGAGCCATGTCGCGTGAGAAAAAAGGTTCACTCCACTTAATCTGAGGCAACTTCCAAAACACCTCCCAAGACAGCTGCTGTCCCACAGAGCAATGGGACAGTACAGTTCACTCAAAAGGGGGATCCCCTGAAAGTTGAATTTTGGGGTCTCCAATGTGAAAACTTACCAATTTGGGGGAACTCACCAAGCTCCTTGTTCTTCCTGAAGTTTATTTCATTTCTTAAGGTTTTAAAAATCAAAACAGGGAGGCAGACATGTCGCAGAGGGATCCACCATTATTTGGATTCAGAGTAATTGTTTAGGAGCTCAGGCCCCTCCTCTGCCTTGTACTCATGTCCCTGAGCAAGAATCTTTGGTCTCACAGGTTTGCCTTCTGGGTGTTTTGTGGCTGGACATATCCATCAGGTGCACCATTTTGTGAGAGTACCAACAACACTCCCCCCCAAATTCTAAATGAGCCCACCAACCCAAAAAGCTTGGAGACCTTTGGTAATCAGAGCAACTCTTTATGGAAGTTTAAAGCAGAAGTGGAAAATGTGGAGCTAGATGAGGTATAGTTGAACTCAGCCACAACCAGTGATCAGGGATGATGGGAGTGAAAGGGCACCTGCGTAGTGCAAGCTTCCCAAACCTGGCATTTCTTTCATGTACTGGACTCCAACTTCCAGTATCCTGAGCTATTGGCTATGCTGACTGGGAATCATGGGGATTTTATTTGAGAGTGTCTGGAAGGCAACAGGTTGGGGAAGGCTGGTGAGGCATGTAGGCTGGTGCTTTCAAAGCATGGATGATGCCTGTGGCAAGATCAGGCAATGCTGCTGGTTACCTGCGGTCCTGAGGATCTGTGCTGCAGAAGGTGACACTGCTGACTGGATAATGACGCCGGAAAAACAGCCTGTGAGAAGAAAAAAAATCCTCTCGAATCCAGAAGGGAGGAACCCGAGGCACAGAAAGTGCTCCGGTGCTCCAACAAGAGCTGCCAGCAGGAGTCTGGGGGAAAGAGCCATGCAGCAGTGGGCACCAGGAGAGAAGGGGGCCTGGCTGGAGCTGTGGCAAGCACAGGGGCAGCCCCCGAGGTACAGAGATTGGTGGACTCACTTCCTCTGGTTGTCGGTGAGCGTGATGCCTTGGGCTGACACCTTGAAGTGCACGATGCAAGCAGAAGCACGGGGGGTGGTGCTCAGGGTGCTGGTGGCTGCTTTGGCTACGGCCTGTGGACCTGTCAGGGACTCTGTTTCCACTGAGCTCAGATAAAGCACGCTGCAGGCTGCAGTTTGGAAAGAGAAAGTGGTGGGGAGACTGATCACCTACATCCTCAGAGAGGCCTGGTACCTTCAGCAGCGACTCATACATTCTGAATCTCCCTGGCCCTTGACCTTCCCTGCCTTTGACAGCATTCTTCAGTAGGGTACCTTAAGAGTCTTGGGATGCAACTGTGTGTAGCTCACAGCTGGCTGGGAAATCCTGGGAGCCGTAGTCTACAATCCAGACTTATCATGCTCCGCTTCCGTGGCCAGTGACCATGCTGGCTGGGGCTGATGTTCAGTGGTGTAAAACAGCTGGAGAGCATCGGATCAGGGAAGGTGGATCTAAGAGGCACCTTCCCCATCTGTCTGTATTTGCTGCCTCCTGCTGGGACAGAGGCTTGAACGTGATGGGTTGCACTCCATGGGAACTCCAATCCATGGGGGAGGTATTTGGGGGAGGAAAGAGTGGACAGGGAATGGGTTAACAAAGCCCTCCCTCAACCACTGTGTCTCCCCTGCACACTGCTGCTCTGTAGCTTTGCAGCAGTGACCATCAGGATTCCCACATCTGGACTTCCGGTTTGGTGTCGGGATGAGGCAGCTGTGAAGAACAGAGCTCCCGTTATCACGCGGGTATTTGTTCGGTAGTGAGCCGTGGGAGGCTCATCTAAGCCCTGTTGGGGCGAAGATAAGATTGTCTGAGCCTTCTTCTGGTTGGTGTGGAGCAGCAACTCCACATCTACTGGGAGAGATTCGGACATTTCTCAACCGGACAATACAGGGGAGATTTCAGCTCCCTGCAAGTCCTCGGCAGCCAGAAAATAGCTTAAAAGATTAGCTAAGAATTCATCGGACTTATTGGGTGAGCATTTTTATTTCTTATCTCTTTCGCAATACTACCCGTGGAAAAGCTGCCTTTGTTGCTAATTGGCATAAAGAAGAAAGAAAAGCCCCTTTGATGGAGCGAGGAATTCCCCCCCACCCCATGGAGTTCTGGGGGAGAGGAACTGAAGTTTGTGTGAAAGTTGAAGCTGAAGAGAAAGACCTTGTTTTTCTGACCTCCCCAAGGGCGAAGAATCAAAATAATTACTATTGTGGAATTAAGTGATAGAAGGATATAATTTGTCTGTGGAGTGGCCATTTTGGCCATCTTTCTCTTTTTTTCTGGGACTTGTCAAAACTACTGAGCGGTGACTTAGAAGAAAAAAAACTGCTGTGAGGTTTTTTAAAATAGCCCTTTGCTGCCATCCTGTGGCTATCAGAATTACTGCAAGTTCTTTTCCTTTTTTTCTCTTTCTCTCTTTTCTCTTCTCTATCTCTTTGCTGTTGCATTGAAATCTTTTTGGTGAATAACTTTCATCATAAGAAAAATTCAGCCTTCCTCTTCTTCGGCACCCTCATCAGCTGCCCAGAGCCCAACCCATCAGCCTAAAACAGAAGATGTTGTAAAATGTTTAAGAGAGCTGCAAACGACGACTTTGGCGATACAGACGTCTTTAACAGCTTTGCAAGCATCCCAAGAGACTGGAAAGTATTTCAAATGAGCAAAAGAACGGCTTGACAAACTGGATAATTCTATTATAGATGTGTCAACTCAATTATCTGACGTTTGACTTAAAGCTGAACAGAACACACAAAAAATACAACAAACACATGAAAAGCTGAAGCCGGTAGATAAAGAAACACAACTAATTAAGCAAACAAATAAGTATCTATGGGATTCAATGGCTGTATTAGAGATGGAGAAGGCATCTTACTACCTAAGATTTCAGAATATACCCGAAGGAAAGAATGAAGATCTGTGAGAGCTAATGACTGGCATATTGGCAGAGCTTTTAGAAATTGAAAATGAAGAAATGGCCGTGGGAATTGATTTGATTTATGGAGTCAACTCGACTTATGCCAGAAAAAACAAACTTCCAAGGAAAGTTCATGTCAAATTTGCTCTAAGGTCCATAAGAGACAATGTTTTGAAGGCTGCACGTGAGAAACCTTTAAAGATGGATGATTGCCATGAGGTGACGGTTCTGAAGCAAATATCATGGAGGATCAGAGAAGGACGAAAGAAATACTTATTCCTTACTACAAAATTGATTAAGAAAGAGATTGCCTTTAAGTGGCTAACACCAGAAGGAATATTCTTCACTTGGAACTCTGCAAGATATAAACTGGATTCAATTTTTAAAGCACAAGAGTTCTATGAAAAATTTAGAGGTATGCTTGAACAGGAAGAACCTGGTGCTTCAAAAGAAGGAGAAAAAGGTGCTGAATCAATGGAAGTAACAGGGTATCATTCTGAGGAAGGAGAAATAGTGAACGCTGATCCACAACAAGAAGTACATATTTTGGACCCAAAGGAGAGGAAAAATGGTAGAAGCGTAAATGCGAAGAATAAGTAGATAAGTATATATTTTTTTAAATATGGCTTTTAAAAGGGGAAAATCGAATTGATCTCCTTAAATGTTAATGGACTAAATGGACCTTCTAAGAGAAGAAGGATCTTCGCTCAACTTCAAAAACGAAAATTAGATATACTTTGTTTACAAGAAACACATATTAAGAAACAACATGTTAAATGTTTGGAATGTTCAAAGCCTGGAAAATTGTTTGTATCTTCTGCTTTTCAAAAGGAAAGAGGTTTAGCACTATATATTAAGGAAAAACTGGACCCTAAATATATTCTTGCTGAAGAGGACGGTAGGATCCTGATGGTCGAAATTACAATGAAAATCAAAAAGGTGCTTTTAGTGGCAATATACGCACCAAATGACCATCGGGAAATTTTTTACCAAAAATTGCATACTTTACTTTTACAAGTGGACTACCAGACTGTGTGTGTAATGGGAGATTTCAATGCAATTGTGGACAAGAAAATGGATCATGAGAGAGATTAAGGGAAAAAAGGGTAGGAGGATACTCCCAAAGTCTTGTTCTAACATGACTGAAGAACTCAGATTGATAGATGCTTGGAGGCATAAAAATCCAACCTCTGCCAAATATTCTTTTTACTCAAATGGTCCAGAACTGATACGGTTTGGATAACTCCAGACTTAGTACCAGACTTGACAGAAGCTGAAATAGAGGCAAATGTCTGGGCAGATCACAACCCTGTATCTATATCATTGAAAGGAACTGTAAGGACACCCAGATGGAGCTTAGACAAAGTGCTATTAAAAGATAAAACATTTACAGAAGAGATAAATAAAGAAATGCAAGTATTCGTTCAAATAAACAAAGCAGAAGAAACTTCTTTACAAAATGTCTGGGATACAGCTAAAGCCTATATCAGGGGATTGATAATAACATACTCAGCAAAAATAAAGAAAAAGAAAAAGCAAGAACAAGCAACAATAGTAGAGGAACTGATGAAACGGGAACAAGAACTGCAGGAAGATCCATCCAAAAAAATTCTTAAGGTCCAAATGAATATTTTAAAGCATAAATTGAATCTCTTGGACACAAATGAACTTACTAAGCAAATGAAACTGGTCAAACAGAATTTCTTTGAAAATGCTAATAAACCGGGGAGATGGTTAGCCTATAAAGTAAAGAAAGAGAGAGAGAGAGAAGAGACTGCTTTCGAAACTGAAGGATGGAGAAGGACGACTACAAGTACAAAGTATACAAATTAAGAAAATAGCAGAAGATTTTTTCACAAAGTTATACCAGAAGGATGAGATTTCAACTGAGAAAGTAAAAGAATACATCCAAAATGGAGATCTACCTAAACTACCGGAGAAATATCAAAAATTATTGAACCAAGAAGTAACAACTATGGAAGTCATAGAGGCAATTATGCGGCAAAGGAATGATAAAACTCCTGGCCCAGATGGGCTGCCAGATGAATTTTATAAATCCTTTGAAGGAGTTTTTGCTACATTTCTTAAAGAAATATGTAATGAAGCACTGTTAAATGCTAAAATACCAAAATACTTGGACAGAGGCAAATATTACACTACCAAAAGAAGATATGCATTTAACACAGATTCGAAACTACAGACCTATATCATTATTAAATGTGGATTACAAAATTTTTGCCTCTATAATGGCAGAAAGGTTAAAGAAGTTTTTAATAGATTTTATTCACCCAGACCAAAATGGCTTTTTGCCCAAAAGACAATGAAGAATAATCTAAGAACTATCTTGGATATCCTAGAGTATTATGAGATACACATGGAAAAACCAATGACTTTACTGTTTATGGAAGCCCAGAAAGCCTTTGATAATGTTAATTGGCAATTTATGAAGCAACAGATGGCTCAAATGGAGTCTGGTGAAAAGTTTATGAAAGCGATATCAAGCATTTATCAAAGACAGTTGGCCAGGATTTTAATTAATGGAGAACTTACAAGGACTATAGAGATACAAAAGGGTACAAGACAAGGATGCCCATTGTCACCCCTGTTGTTTATTCTGATTTTAGAGGTGTTGAATAGAAATATCAGGGATGACGCGGACATTAAGGGTCCTAGAATTAGGGATGAAAGTTATAAATTGCAAGCATTTGCAGATGATTTAGTTTTCATAACGGAGGAACCCTTTGTAACAATGCCTAAACTCCTACAACGGATTGAAGAATATGGTGAGGTTACGGGGATGAAAATAAATAAAGAAAAAATGAAATGGTTAGTTAAAAATCTCACACAAGACCAGAAAAAAAGGCTGCAGGAACAAGTAGACTTGCAGATTGTTAAAAAGGTTAAGTATTTGGGAATCTGTCTTACAGCCAAGCGTACTACTTTGAAAGAAGACAATTACAATGAACTATTGAAGGATATTAAGGGCGATCTGGAAAAATGGGCCAATTTGCAATTATCTTTGATGGGAAGAACAGCACTTGTTAAAATGAATATACTACCAAAGCTTTTGTTTCTGTTTCAAATGATTCCCGTAAAAATTGATAAATTTTTTTGATGATTTAAACTTTCAAATTTCAAGATTTATTTGGAGAAAGAAGAAACCAAGGATTAAATTAAAAATACTTCAGGAAGCTAAAAAGAATGGTGGTTTTGGTCTTCCTGATTGGGTGTTGTATTTTCAAGCGTCTGTTTTAACTTGGCTAAAATAATGGATAACTTTAAGAAATAAGAGAATTTTGTATCTTGAAGGTCATCATTTGCATGCTTATATGTGGTATGAGAAGGCTAAGTCACATGGGTCTTTTTTAAGTCACTTTATTAGAAGATCATTAATGTCGGTGTGGGAAAAGTTAAAGCTAAAATTGTATAATAAACTACCAAGATGGCTTTCACCTATGGAAGCTTTTGTTTATCCAAATGCATTGAACTTTGAAGGGATCATAAGATATGATGATATTTTGGATAAGGATGGAGGCCTGAAATTAGATCAAGAAACACAAGAACAGGGATTTAATATCTCTTGGTGGCATAAGGTGCAGATGCAATCGAGATATGCTAAAGACTGTAAAGCATGGGGGTTTTATAAGGACTTAACAGCGTTTGATCAAGTGATGCTTAAATCAGATGAGAAAATGATTAAAAGATTATATGATTTCTTACTTGACAGGAAAATGGAAGATGAACAGGTTAAGGAAACTATGATAACATGGGCACAAAATTTTGGATATAATATTGAATTAGAAAAGTGGCAAAAGCTATGGGAGAGAAATATTAAGGTAACATTAGCAATTTTGTATAAAGAAAACTTATATAAAATGTTTTATAGATGGTATCTGTCGCCAAACCGATTAGCTAAGATGTTTCCAAATATGTCAAATGGATGTTGGAAATGTAAACATAAATTGGGTACTTTTTACCATATGTGGTGGACTTGTGACAATGTGAAAAAGTACTGGATTAAAATACATAAATGGCTTGAGGAAATGTTACAAAAACCCTTAGCTTTTAAACCTGAAGTTTTTTTATTAGGCATTATACCGGAAGATATTAGTAAACAAGAAATGTATTTGATGTTACATGTAATCACCACGGCAAGGATTGCATTTGCTCAACACTCCTTGCTCAAGTAAGGAATTACCCACCGATGAACTGATTCTAAAAAAGATTCTGGACTGTGCAGAAATGGATAGACTGACTTTATCACTGAAGGAGAAAGAAGATACTGACTTCTATCAAACTTGGGATTTTTTTATTATTGGCTAGAGAAACGGGACTTGGCTTAGATTTAAAGATGTTTTTAAGTTATTATAAATGGATTTGAATATGACTATAGAATGTTAAAAAATATGAGTAGGGGGCTGACCCAGTACATCTGATGTATTTGATGACTGATGTCTTTAGTGTTAGTTTAAAAATCTTAATTTTTTTTTTTAAAAAGGATTCCCACATCTGTTTCTCCTTCCAAATAGTGGTAGAAATTATACACTTATTATCTGTTTGCATCAAAGCTATTCCAATACATCTTTTCCACCAGCAATCAAAATATCTGAGGGGAAAGAACTTAGCACAACTCCTATTGAGCAGAGATATGGGGATGAGCTAAAATAGATGATTTGGAGGGTTTTAATTTTATTTATTTAGTAAACTTCTATGCTGCCCCATTCACCAGGTTATATAGAATATAATTTTAAGATGCATTTGAGTACTTCCTCCAAGTACATCAACTGCTGCTCTTCACACTGAAGTGGAGCTACCATTACTTTCTTCCAGGGTGACCAAGGCAATTGTTTTGTAAGCCGCCCCGAGGCTCTTTGCGAATGGGGCGGCATAGAAATGTTGGTTTTTTTTTTAAATGTGTGTCTGTGTGTGTGTATTTAAGATTGACCAATATGTCCAAACACAACCAGGCCAACATTTTAATGTAGAACATGAAAAGATGGGTGGTTGGGCCGTCTTCCTACTTTGAAAGACTGGCCTATTTTTTTCACATTGCTGTCTTTTCATTTAAGTGAATCAAAGGTTAAAATCAGAGACCAGTTCTGATCACAGAATGCTAATAAAGACACAGAAACCATTCAACAAAAGGTGTAGTAGGTGACATGGATCGACAATTTCTCTGTCATTATTTTAATCCCTTGATTGATTCTGACCTATGGAAGAGATTTACAGATTTAGACTTTCAGACAATGCCTTCTTTATAATGAGATGGAACAAGTGCAAATGTTCCTATATTTCAACATTTTTGTATATGTGCGACTTTACAGATAGTGCATATTATGCATGATGCATTCTTCTGTGACTTGTATGCCTCACAGGTGTAGTGCAAGCTTCCCCAACCGGGCATTCCCTACATGTACTGGACCGAAACTTTCAGCATTCTGAGCTATTGGCCACGCTGACTAGGAACTGTGGGGATTGTATTTGACTATGTCTGGAGGGTGACAGGTCGGGGAAGGCTGCATTTTCTCCCTCTTCACCTTCCTTCTGCCATTAGATGAGGACCTCTTTATCCAAGCAGGCCTTTGGTTTGAAAGTGGGTCTGCTGCACTGGATGCTGTTTTGATTTTGTTACCATTATGTTTTTAATTGTGTTTAAGTGCATCAGTTTTATTATTGTTTCAATCAACTTTTATTAATGATTACAAACTGCTCCAGTAGCTCCAGTCTTCCTTGGCAGAAAGAGCACAAACTATATAAACATATAATAAATAAATCCAAGAGTGAGTGGAAGAATATGGTCCAAATAGTTTGCCATATAAACTACCTGGAGACATGGACCCTGACAGAAGCAATCAAGTAGGTGTATTCATTGTGGTTGCTAAAATGATTAGAGCAAAGATCCTAAAAACCTCCGCACTATTGAGCCTGGTAAATCATATACCTGCTAGTTACTTTGTGTCTGCCTCTCACTCACAGACCTCCTGTTTTGTGCTACTTACCTGCTCCCTGCTTCAGCAAATCAGCAGCTGTACTCATGTTGGTGGGAACAGTCAGCTCGATGCTCTCCTCCACAATATCTGAAAAAGGAAAGACAAAGAAGAGAGAACAGGGTCCATCATCCACTGGACAAGCATCACTCAGCAGCTAGAGTGTGGGGATTGAATGCGGGGGGGGGGTGAGGGGACACAGCTTGAAATCCTTAGTTATGAAACTCACTGACTAGGTTCTGACAACACGATAATCCACACTTATGGATTGAGTGGGGATTGTTGTTGAAACATGGGTTATTGTCTGAACCCAGTTGGGCTAACAAACCATGGCCTGGTAACCACAAACAACCCACAAAGAGAACCCATGGTTTGTTGGGTTGTAAGCCATGGTTAGTTATTTTGGCTGAGTTCAGACATCACAGTAACTCACATTTCAACAACACTCCATGCTCAACTCATGCTCAGTTCTTGAATATAGGTTATTGTGTGGTCCAAACCTAAACAGTATTTCTCCTTGGGCATCTTGGGCATCTTAAGAAAAAGGTAAGTGGAAGTTGTCAGAAATAAAGTAAAGCAAACATTGAGTCTTTGAACTGTTGTAAAGATTATGCACAGTGTTTTCAACAACCCTGTTAGATGTCCATATTATTGTTCATACACTGCAGACAAGGGATCCAAGACCACCTGGTGAATGCATGACAAGCAACATTTGCCCAGAGGACATTCTGATGTACAACTCAAATTCTTACCCAGGGATCTGTAGAAAGAAAAACTCCAGATGTTCTGGATTTCAGCTCCCAGAAGCAATGACAGTACAGCGCTAGCTTTGTGGCTGACTGGAGTCACATAACATGACATTATCAGAGGACAGGAGAGGTTGAGTATGGGTTCAGTGCAGGTTGTCATTGATCTGAGGGCTGTTATTGAATCATGCATTGTTGTGTTGTGTGAACACAGCCACACCAATAAACTATAGTTTGTTAACTACAAACCACCAATGAAGAAAATCTATCTGCTGTTGTTCAGTTGTGAACTTTGTGTTTCTGGTAATTAGTAAGCCCTAGTTTGTTAACTACAAAAAATGCCCAAAGAGAACCTATGGTTAGTTGCTGGGTTGTGATCTGTGAGTTGTTTGTGGTTAACAAACAGTGCTTTGTTAGTGGGGCTAGGTTCACAGCAGTTCATGATTACATAACACCACATGGTTCAATGACAATCCACACTCATGCATACTCAACCTGTAATCTGGCCTGTTGAGTAATGTGGACCAGGTCTTTCTCTGGTTCACACACACTCAAATACACACATGCAATGCCTTCTGATTTAATATTAGCATTTTATGGACATTTCCTTTTATATGTCAAGCAAGAACCTACCGCTTCCAGACATTTGGCCTCTGGACACACTCCAAAGCACTCACCTTTGTTTGGGATGAGGAGATGGCAAGGCAATGAGATGGGAGTGATGGAATGCTGGGACACCAGGGCTGGCAGGCTGCCTACAGAAAGTGGGGGAAAGAAACCCAGCCTTGGGTCAGGCTTTCTGTTCACCCTGTCTTATCAGAATGTAAGAAGAGCCATGCTGGATCAGATCAGGCCCATCTAGCCCAGTGTTATGTTCTCACAGTGGCCAGCCTGCTCATGGGGAGCCCACAAGCAGCACAAGAGCGCAGTAGCAGCCCTCATGAAGGGTGTGGGAGGAATCCATCAAATTCCCTGGGCTCGGCTCCCTGCACTCTGGTCCGCTTTGCAGCAGTCCTCAGTCGGAATTCCTGGCAAGTGTGCTCAGCCTTGCCAGGAATCGAGCCCCCAGCCAGGCATGAAAGAAGGTTGGTTGCAGGGAATGGCACCTGATGGGGCCACGTGCGGCACCCCTCTCCCACAGTCGGCACTGCCTCCTCTGGCTGTGGTGGGCAAGGAAGAAAGCAGGTCACCGGGACTGGTGTCTGGTGGGGCCACTTGCAACACCCCCCTTCTGCATCCTGCAGCTGCTCTTTGGGCAGCTACACCGGATGGGGAAGGTGGCTGGTTGTGCAACCAGGCTCTGAAAGCGCTTGTGGACTTCGTCCTAGCTTGCTTTGCAGGAGTCCAAAAGTGTTCACCCCAACTCTTCCCCCCCTCCATGTTCCCCAGCAACCGTACATAGGCAAATGGCCTCTGATAGTGATGGCAGCACCTAACCAGCGGGACTAGCAGCCATTGAGTCTTCTCCGCACAACCTTGGCATGCAGTTGGGTCATTCTTCTTCTACAGGGGAGAATGAAGATCCTGCTGAAGGCCATTCCCAATCGCTCTGAAAGGTGGGAGAGCCCACTTCTTCAACCTCCCAGCCACTCACCAAAATGGGGTTCATTGTTACAGCCCTTGATCTTCACTCCCTTGGGTCCTGTCTCAATCAGGAAATGGCGCACCAGCTGTTCTGCAGGGTCTCCTGGGACAGGCAGAGGGACATAAATTCGTGGAGGTGCAAATCCTTTTAGACTGAAAGCCTGATCTTTCTAAACTATTCCGGGAGTCCTTTTGGCTAAGCACGAAAGCAAAGCTGGGGTAAAAATGATTTTGGAATAATTCCTTCATTACCTTGCCATTCATTACCCTCTGCCCATCTACCCAACCCTGCCTGCAGCTTTCCAAGGCCTCAGGCAAAAGCCCTTTCTTTCCTGACCCTGCTACCTGCAACCTCCTTCTGCTGGAGGCACTGCAGAATGAAACAGGGAGGTGTCCCCAGGCAAAGCACCACCAAGCTTGCACTTCTCCTGTCCTGCCACAGCCCTACTCTACATGCAATACTGAATGGCTTTTTACCTTTGGTGGAGTGGTTGATGCTGTTGGGTGGAGGTGTGGCCACTTTCAGAGCCAGGCCGTAGGCCCCCTGGAACGAGTTGCTGTCCCGGATGAGGAATGTGCCCGGCTCCTTGTCCTTTAGGAGGGCAATGGCTGCTCAGGGAAAGAAGCAAAGGACATAGGTGAGCATATTCCGTATGCAGAAGCCCACCATTCTGCCAGGGCAGGATCAGCCAGTATAGTCAATGATGGTTCTGAGTTAGGGCCAACACGAAGCAGGCCCTGTGAAATTTTCTGATGTAAAGAAGGTTCCCACTGTATTCCTAACCCATTCATACACCCAGCAAAGCTAGCAGGCAAGGGGGCCTAAGGCTGAAGGAAGCAATCAGCATTTTCCCACTGGCCATGAAGGAGGAACACTAAGCCTTGCCCATGAAAATCTGGAGCCAAGTACCATGTAGCCACCTGTTTGGTTTGCTGCGCCGCCTGCAAAAGGACTGACACAGACTTCACATAGGAGTGTGTGAAAGCTAGACTTTCAGGTCAGCACACCTGAGGATCCCAACTCCTCTAAAGCAGGGGTGCTTAACCCTCTTTCAGCCCAAGGGCCACATGCAGTTTTGGTGCCGCATTCATAGAAACAGAAACTGAGCGAGTCAGAAGAGGCCTCCTGGGCTGTCTGGTCTGACCCCCCACTCCAGCCAGCTCTGCTCACAACATGCCTACCATTTGCATGTCTAGCCTGTCCTTGAACATCCTCACCGACGGGGCTTCAACCACCTCCCGTGGAAGCCCATTCCATACCACAGGGGTCCTAACTGTCAGGAAGTATTCCTTGGCATCCAAATTGAACCCCATCCATGAGGGCAGGGTGGGGCCAAAGGCAACGGCAACAAGGTTTTTGCCAAAACAGCAGCTCAGTTTAATTTAAATCTCTTTGTGCCAGTTATAAAGCCTTACAAGAGCTTTTCAGAATGGGGGAAGATGGCACAGAAACCAGGAAACCATGCAACAGTGGACAGTCAAAGGGAAGGGGATGGGGTACCCCATAGGTCAGATTGGACTACAGATTGGTCTGGTGGGCCTGAGGTTTAACACCCCTGCCCTAGGGCAGATGTAAAATACTGATGTTAGTCGAATCCCAGCCAAATCTAGCAAAACTATTTGCAAAAGATTACCTTGATCCCGGGACAAATTAGGCTTGTACCAGAACTTTGATGTATCTTGGACAAATTTGACACTGGCCTGGTTCTGTTGCTGTGCAACTGGAAGGAAGGAAAATGTAAGTTAGTTTTCGCTCCAGGAGGCTAACAGGCCAAAGTGCCTGGAACGTGTTATGGGGGCAACATCAGTATAATACAAAGTCTTTTTGCAGTGCTTCTACAGGGTGTTCAAAATCTTTCGTGTACATTCTCTCCATGATTTTTACCCTAATCCTGCAGGGGAGACTGATATTATATTAGGGAAGCTTGGTGAAATATGTGTACAATGTTCTAGGTTCAGGCTTCTGATTAAAAGGATCTCAAGTCACAGGGTCACGGGCTGTTTTAGTGTTGGACTGTCGTGCTAAGCACACCAACCAACCAACCACCTTCTCCAGGTGGGTGACACAATAAGCCACAGCCTGGAACTTAAATAGGTCAGCATAGACTGGTCTTCCCCAACTAGCTGGAGGCGTGATGGAAACTGCAGAGAAGAGAACCTTCGGGCTGTAGGCAATATAGGTATGTAACAAACAAACAAACAAACTGAAGTAGAAAACAAATTGGGGAAGGCTGAGTATCAATGTGCAGCATTGATAAAGTCTGTCTGTTTTCTGGGAGCCTAACAAAGACAAAATAGTAAACTGCAACAAAAATATTGCAGTAAAGATAGAGATAAAAACCTAGCTTCACAGCATGACTAAAAATATTCTATATGAAAACAGTGAGTTATAATTCAAAACTTTACATTCATAGATTTCAAAAGTTCTGAGAGAATTTTAAAATTGTCAGTTGCTTGAACAATTCTGCCATTCCGCTGAAGGAATTGGATTGACAGGGGCCTCTTTTCTACCTGATGTACCAGTTGAACAGATAGTGTGTATTAAAAGCAAACTGGCAGGAATTTCCAAATTATTCACTATGACCGCCATCTAACTGCCACAACTCATGGAAAGAGGGCCGTCGCACCTTGGTTTCCTATGTGAGATCAGTTTGGGGACATTCAAGGCAGCCTCAGAGAAATTAAGGACTGCAGCCATGCCATGGGTCCTTCGGGAGGTGGAGCAAAGTAAAAGTACGAAGCTCAACTTGTATCCTCCCCCTCAACTGAATTGAATACCAATTCTCAAAGCAGAGCTGTTACCTAGGCCAGGTGTGCTTCCATCAGGTACTCCAGGAGCAAAGGTGACATGGTGAGCAGAGCCAGGGCTACGGCCAGGTGGAGAGCCCCTCTCCCAGTTTCTGGTTGCCAGAATGTGATGCTTCTCAGGCAGCGGAGGCTGCGGCAGCTCACAGAGTCGGTCCCGGCTGGAGGGGCTGCCCTCTACCCCCGTGTAGTAGGCTGTGGCGATAGGGAAGGCTGGGGTTGGTGAGCCTTGCGTGTCAGCAAAGCTGCATCCGGCAGCCGGCGACTGGATGCTGACTGGGCAGAGCCCAAGGGAGGGGTTGCTGTTGGGGTGGTGAAGAAGAGTGCTTGTCTCAGGTTCAGTCCTCTCGCTGGGAGGCCGGCTGTTGTAGCCAACAGGGATCTGAGGCGAGGCCGGGGCGCTGGACACAGCCCTGCAGCCAGGAAGGGGCTGGCTGGGGCAGGAAACACCGGAGCTGCTCCTCTGGGCTGGTCTTTCCATGACAGGACTGAGCTGATGCCCTGCAGCGCCTTCTGGGGGTAACTCCTGGGAGACCACCGTGGCACGAGGGCTGGATCTTTCTGAGACGTTCTGCTGCAGTTGGCCCTCTGGAAAGACCCCACACTTAGCTGTGGGCGAGGAGGCGAGGTGCAGCGGGCTGGCCACACAGAGGGTGCGGGAGCAGGGCTGTGGCAGCGGGAGGCCTAGACTCAGGGATGCTCCATTAGCTTGTGGCCTGAAGGAGGGGAGGTGGGTGAAGGCCTGCATCGGGGAGAGAACCTGCGTGGGGCTGCTTGACAAAGCCATCTTCTCTGGGCCTCTCTTCCAGCCAGAAGAAGCCAGCTGCTCCGGGCTTGATGGGTGCAGGCTTTCAGGAGGGCTGCTGGCCTTGTTGCTGTGCTTGAAGATTCCAGGGCTGTGTGGCAGCAAGCATGCAGTTAGGAAATCCACAGAAAGAGACAGAACAGGAATGTAGGACACTGCTTTATACTGAATCAGAACAGGGGGCTATCTAGCCCAACCCGGACTGGCAGCAGCTCTCTGGGGTTTCATGCAGAAGACTTTCCCAGCCATCCCTGGAGGGGCCAGGGCCTGAACTTGGGGCATGTGCTCTGCTGCTGAGCCACATCTCTTGTCCTAAAAGATGTGGCAAAATATGGGCATTCATATCTAAAAAAAACTTTACGCACCCAACTTACCACCACAGAAAGTTACCAAGTTTTGTACTGCCCTCAAGATCACTCAAAGTCCACTCCCCACAAAAATGTGAACAAAATGTATTAGCCCACAAACATGCCAGTGTTCCCTGCTTTGTTTCCTGGAGGCAGTGCTTAACTTGCCACAAGCAAGCAGATTCTTATAGGTTTGCTATAGAAAGACACACACACACACGGGTAGAGAGAGAGAGGGAAAAAACAACTCCCTGGGCACCCACCTGTCACTGCTGAATACTGGGCTGCTGGTGTGCACTGGTAAGGGGGAGCCAGACATGTCTGCACTAGCAGCTCGTGCTTCTTGCCGCTGTTGCTGCAGGGGCCTCAGAGCATCTTGCCGGGGCCCAGCATCTCTGCAGTCTTGCATCTCTACTGAAGGGAAAGGGAAAGGGAAAGGGAAAGGGAAAGGGAAAGGGAAAGGGAAAGGGAAAAGGAAAAGGAGAAGCAAACTTACAGGGTCAGCCAGGACACACCCAAGTCAATGGAACTATGCTGACCTAGTCAAATGGATTGGCCCCCAGATTTTGGGACCTTGGACAACAGATCTTCCAAGGAATGTTTTGATCATATCCCTGCTGCGCCCAGTATCGTGGCAGCAGAGGCCCAGGTAGCTGAAAGATTATGTGGAACTCCTTGGGCTCCTCTAATAGCATGGTGCAGTGGTCAGAGTTTCAGATCACAACTGGGGAGAGCCAAGTTCAGACTCCCATTTGGCCTCCAAGGTCAGCAGGTGAACCTTGGGCTACTCACTCCTCTCTCAGCATAACTTGGCTTGGAGGACAGTTGTGAAGATAAAATTTGAAGGGGACTGGGGTTGTGTGCATCACCTTCAACTCCTACTTGGATGAAGGCAGAACAGGAATGTAATGAACAAAGGATATTTGAGTAGTTAGTCCCACTCCCCAGAAAATTCTGGGGTCTGCAGTTCACTAAAGAGGAAGCAAAGAACCTGCCAGAGACAATTCTCAGCACCCTCACCAAACTGCAATCCTCAGGATTGTTTCGGGGAAGTGATGAAATTAAAACAGAATAAACCTGAGATGTTCCTAATCCAGATGATAAATTGAGTTGTTTAGGGGTTGGTTTTTGGGTTTAGCTCCTAAACAAGTGAGTGATCTGGGTTTGGATGTTGCAGGAGTGGATTGTGGTTGTGGAGTAAAAAGAGCAGAGTTGGTTTGCTCTCCATGACAAACCATCAATTTTTCAACCCATGGATGGCCATTACATGCAAACCAGGTCATAGCCTAGGACAGAGGATCTCCCTGAGCCCTTCCTCTGACTGAATAGGGCATCTTCGACATGCAGAGCATGTGTGTTGGACTACAATCCTTTCATTCTTGGCCAGCTTGCACACACTGGCCACAGAGGATGGGATCTACAGTGCAACCTGTCTGCCAGGCACCTACTTGGGGAAGACTGCACTGATTTATGCTCCATGACCATCTGGCAACGAAGGCTCTTGCTCACTCGGCCCTGGACTCTCCCTAGTACAATGGACTCCATCCCTGGGTCCTCTCTGGTCCCATGATGCAACACCTATGACCACTGGGCATGACAGCCTTGAGAAATGGGGCTCTGGAAACTCTATGGAGGCTGCTGCCTTGTCTGGGTTGCCTCCCCCAGTACTGTCTTGGAAACACAGAGCCCTTTGCACCAGTCACTCACCATGAGGTCTTTCGGAGGGCGCCGGCAGGAGGTATCCATTGCTGCCTTCAGGGGGCTCACAGCCATGCTTCCTGGCTGGAGGATATAGTGGGCTGGTTGGGGGCATGGAGCCTGAGTGGGGAGACCCCATGTATCCAGAGACGTAAGGAGGCATGCAGGGCTTGACCGGGGCTCTGCCATAGGCATATGATGGCACTGGAGGGTAGGCTGGGCTGTAGCGTGGGTAAGGATATGCCTCGCTGTTCTCGTCTGTTACCTTGGACCTCTGGTGGGCCTGGTAGCTGTGGCCTGTGTGCATGGTCACCATCTTGGGCTCAAAGTTAAAGGCTTGCTGCTGCCCATGCGACAAGTGGGGGTGCCCATAGGGGACTGGCATCAGAAGTGGCATGGGCTGCCCACTCCGGTGGAGGGGATGATGGAGCAGGGGTGGCCTCATGTTCTCCACCCCCCACAGATCTGGTTCCCGGTTCAGTCGCAGGCTGTAGAAGGAAGCTGTGGGCAACCTGGCATCTTCACGGGCTACCTCTTGGCAGTCTTGGCAGGGGCATAAATATGTGGGGGGGTCCTCCAAGATCAGCAACTCCTCGTGCTCCTGCTGGCTGGGACTGTGCAGGGGCGGTGGCGGGGGTGGCGGCGGCTCGTGGCTGAATGGGTAGGAGTGGGGCTGAATGCCCTCAGAAAGAGAGCGAAACACACGCCTTTTCTCCTCGTAGCCTTCAGGATGCATGTGGGAGTGCCCACCATTATAGATTGCCTGTCGGCGCTCCAGAGAGCCATCTTGCCTATAGTAGACCATGTTATGAGGCCTCTCGGGGCTGTGGGAGCGGTAACCGAGGCGACAGGAACAATGCCGGGCCAGGCCTGAGCGCTGGGTTTGGTAGGAAAAAGGGGTGGCTGGTTGACTCATATCTGAAAGCTCATCTTCCAAAATGGCCGTCTCTCTTTCCTTGGTGACGGAGGGGGAGAGCGAATGAGAACCATTCGCCTCACTGGACTGCCGAGTTTGGACACCAAATCCACCCAGGAGCCGGTCCAGCTCTTCCTTCTCCGCAGCAGTGGGCTGCAGCCTGGATGGTGGTGTGTTGTCGTCGGCCTTCTCAGTCAGCATGGAGGAATGCCCTGAGTCGCTGCTGATGGACAGGAGGCGCCCACCTTGCTGCGGAGGGGACTCTGGACTGCTTGGGCTGCCGTTGACAGAGGAGAAGCTGCTCAGGTCACCTTTCTTTTTAATTCTGGCATACAGGCTTCCATCAAGGGGCCCCCGGGTGTGTAAGACATCTGCAAAGGAGAAGTGGGGGCACTGCTCAGAAGGAACACAGAGACTGCAGAGCAGCACAGATGGCCTGGAATATCTCCACTAGGCAGCTAGTCCACACCTGCACCAATGTAACCTGAGCATATGCTTTGGTGTAAGGATGGTGAATTCCTGCATTCTTCAGTGAAGAATTCCTGTATTCTAGTCTCCAGCCAGTGGACCTGGACCAGAATGACATTCAACCACAGATGTGGCGAGAAGGTAGATTTCAAGATGTTTGGGACTCCAGTTTCTAGAAGTTCTTGGCAGCACTGCCAATACTCAGGAATGCTAGCAGGTGAAATCCAAAACAGCTGACATCTGGAGATCTCATTTGTGCCCACACCTGTTCTATCACATAAACCAACTCCCTTGCACTCCATAAAAAACCTAGCACCCTCTAGCTTGGAAAGGATCAAGGAATTCATTATATCGTGACTATTGTTTTAATCACAGAGGCAGCTTTTAAACTGTTTTAAGAAATGACTGATTGGACATGGCAAGGAAATGATGTGCAAATTAATAAACATACACATACTTCTTTAAAATTTTAGACAGAAAAATGGCTCTGCTGGCTGTGGGATGCTGGGAGTTACAGGCCTTTTTCCTGTCTAGACATGGAAGGGATTGTCCTCTTAAAGACTATACTATAGCATTAAGTGAACCATTTGACATTTATTCAGGTTTAGTCCAGCAGAGGAAAACAGTTTACTGGTACACACACAGATCTGACAGACCATGACTCATCCACACCTTAATCTAACTAGCATCATGCTCCATCCTCAAAATACATGACACTTTTTCCTTCATAAAACCCACATTCCAGAAAACAGCCCTCTTTCTCCAAGCATTAGTTGTTGCCAGAAGGAGGGGGAAGTTTTACTTTATCCTGTTGAGAGTTTTTCTGGTATCTGACGCAGACAAGCCAACTATTAAACTGCATTTGATTATTCCCTCTGCTATTTTATTTATTTTAGTTCTTAATGAGTTTACTTTAAGTGGACATTAGGAGGAAACTATAATTAGGTGAGACTGAGCAAAAGCCAGCTGTTTAGATTGCAGCTCCGGGAAGCAAAAAAGTCACTACAGCCTAGACTCATGTGCATATATGTGGGGAGGGGGGGTGGTTAGGATATCCATTAGAGAAGGGCAGCCGCAAACTTTGAAATACCAAACTCTTTTTTAAAAATAATGGTAAGGGAGAAGTATTGGAGCTTCCCCAGTGGTATGTCTAGCAGGCTGCTGCTGTTGAGTTCAGATGTGTGAACTGGACTGTAGCACAGTGCAGACTCAGCACAACTCTCAGTCATCCAACAACAGCATTCTCTGCTCTGGGGATCTGTCAAAAGTTCCAGAATAAAATGCTCAGCATTTCTAGCCACTGGCTGTACTGGCTGGGATGGGTCGGAGTTGCAGTCCAAACTGGAGAGCATCAGTCTGAGGAAGGCTGGCCTAAAACAACCTAGTCAAAATAAAATACAACCCCAGCACTAGCCACCCTTAGGTACAAGCAGGAGGTACGCCTAGCTTGTGCTTGAAAGCAGAACACATTCTATGAGAGGACAACCAAAATTCCGCACAAAGACAATGTTCTTCAATTTGCATGAACTATACTAATGCACACCCAAGTGCTTAATTTGCATAATGTGCTTCTACTCATAAAGCCAGGAAGATTAGAGTTAGCCGTAACTTCTAGGATGTCCTACTGAGCTCCACTTTTCTCACGTTCCCCTCTAGCTTTGGCTAGATAATGGTCAGAACCTTGTTTCAAAACTGTTTCTGTAAAGAGATAGAAACTTGGGAAACAGAGGTCCTCGGGATGCTTGATTCTTCACCCAGTGCTATTTGCCCCATCCCCACCCCTGCTGTACTTATGCAGAATTATGGAGCACACACAGTCTTGCCAATATGACATGGCAACCTGACCCAAGCACTATGACAAGCCTGTAGACACGCCTCACTGGGACTGAGTCCTACATACCTTCCAAGCTGTCTTCGTGGTGAAGGTTGAAGTTCTCATAGGAGTCCCAACGGACTATAGGATCAGAGATACTGTAATCTACTGCAACAGCAGCATTGTTCCTGTAGGTCTCCCGGCCTGTGGAAAGAGTCAGAAATGCCAGCACTGAAAGGAATCAGCCCACTCTGCCACATCCTGGACCAAATTACCTACTTCACTTTCACAGCCCACACGAGGAAACCAGTGGTTACACATCACTGTCACCTGTCAACAAACTTACAGGGGGGTTATGTGCAAATGGGATTATGTGACCCCAAATGTTGGCTACAGTCACCCAAACGTAGTGTTTCTCTCAGCCCTGCACCCCAGCTGACTGTGGCTGATGCCTGCCATTTTAATCCTCCCACTAAGAGCCAGAGGGCCTGAAAAAGGATGGCTTGAGAACAATGCTACATTGGGGCCTCAGTGGTATGGTGGGGAAATTAAAATGGTAGGTTTCACCTGTGACACTAGCATGGTAAACATACTAATGATTTTTAGCTATCGCAAACTCTAGTCACCTAAATATAATTTTTAACAGATGGTACAGAAATTCCAGAAATAAAGGTTCATATGCTCTATCTGTAAAAGTCTAGTGGTCTGTTTGAAAGCCAATTCCTGCAACCTTGCATGGGATTTTAGAAGCAAAATGGTGTGGACCCACCAGTGCCTGAATGGAAGCGCACCAGGAACTGGTCTGAGATTCCCCACTGGAAATTGTCATAGTTTGAAAGGAAGATTTCCCCAAGACTTCTCTTTGAAGACATGGTGGGCATGTCGTGAGCGGAGCTGGCTGGAGCCAGGGGTCAGACTAGATGGTCTGGGAGGCCCCTTCTGACTCGCTCTGTTTCTATGTTTCTAAAAGAATATCAGGTCCCATTGTCCCATGAGGGAAATGTGAGTAAAAACTAGGTTGCTATGGTTTTCATTCCACAGGAATGAAGCTTCTAGTCCAGGCTCAGCCTGTGGTTTTGCCTGTCTTCTTGCGGTTTTCATTTTTGTTCAATACTCCTACCCTCCCCCATTTTCTGCCTTTTTTTTCAATAAAGGAATATGCATAGCTTTGACTACAATAGGGAATGGAAGTCCAGAGAGCTTATAGTAGGAGGAAAGGTTTTGATCCAAGTTGGCAGAAAATGATTTCCTCATTCCCCCTGCTCACCACTGCCAATATTTGCAGGCCAAAGGAGATTCTATTCATCTGGCAAGCAAGGAGGATTACCCAGAAAATCCAGAGGACACGTACATACAAAAAAAAAAAGTGCCAGTACACCTTAAGATGCTTCCCAACATCACACTATTGCTCTGGCAGAAGCTGTGGCCCCGCCAGTCCAAACTCAACTCATTGTCCAACTCTTGTGGCCTTCCAGATGCATGATAAGCCCCTTTGTTCTTTGAGTCTGAAGGCAGGATACATGGGCTTTGGCCCACATAGCCCCCTATCCAAGCTCTGGCCAGATCCAGACCTGCTTAGCTTTCATGCAGTTGCAACCTCAAGGGCCTTCAGAGCATGTCCTGGGACCTGGCTTCCCAGTGGCAAGGCAGAAATGTTCACGACAATGCACCTTTCTCCCTCCAACTCGGCCATCACCCACCTTTAATTTTCTCAGGGCTAGAAGAGAAGACAAATTCCACGCTTGCCTCAAAGGGGAACCGTTCATCTAGGGAGGGAAAGGAGAGGAAAATACGCCAACATGCTGGAATCCAAGAGTGATCACCTGTGCCATAGGCTATGTTCACGTAATTTCAATTTGAAAAGAATGCTCTTGGTTTACTGTTCTCACAGAAGAAGGAACACAGTTCTCCTCAAACCCAATCCACACAACAAGCCTGCAGCACTTCACACCTTTCGAACAGTTCCAGCTTCTTCCAAGCAATCTTGAGAATGCTGTTTGGTGAAGTGCTAAGAGGTTTTGACGTTAAGAACTACACAATTGCCAGGTTCTGTGGAAAGGTGAAAGGACAGTTCTGCTGCTATGTAATGTGAACATGCCCTGCAAGGAACCTTCTCTTCTGCTGTATTAGTAAGCATTTCCAGGGAAAACATAATCTAACTCTTCTAGAGGGCCTTTGAGATGGTCTGATTCCTTCCTAGCAGAAAGCAAAACTGAGAGCTCGAGAACATCCTCACATCTCTCACATCCCTTGCTGATAAAAGGCTGGAAAAAGGTACGTGTATATCAGAGGTGGGCAACACATGGCTTCCATGCAGCCTAGTTCCCCTCCATAGTGCAACCCCCAGCAACCCCTCCCCCCCACTGCATCTTTTTAAAAAGCAGTGGGTCAGTCTGAGCTTGTATGCGAGCTAAATTTTGTCCTTTTGGTGTTCTGTAGTCTTTGTAGCTAAGTTTAACTATTGATTCCATAGCTAAATGTAATGCTTTTGGTTTTCTGGCTGATTTTCATGGCAATCCAGTGGTCACCTCTTATTTAAAACTGGAAAGATGAGTGCCTTGTGTACAGCATAACACCCTGAAGAATGTACCCCATGGAGGAAGGTCCATGGGGCAAAATGGGCCCCAAGATAATCTCTTGAAGCTACCCACTTCTACTGTGCATAAAAGAGGTGCAGGCAATTCATCGCCCATGGGCTGCGTGTGAGAGCCCCACTTCTGTAGCTGGTTGGTGCGTTGTCAGGAGTGTAATTCTGCTTGGAAACAAAGCATGTTCCTTGTATTCTCTTTCTCTTCAGAACTGCTGTTTCTGCACAGAAACAGGGTTTGGGGTGGCTCTCCTCTGTGCCCTGTCTTTTCTGCAGAATGGGTCTCCCAGTTGATGGGCAGGTAGTTGGGGCCCTAATTTTCCTGGGAAACAAGGCACACACTCCCAACTGGATTCTAAGTGATACAGCTGAGGAAGGATTCTGTCACATGGATCACTCCATGAGGATATCTGACAAGTACTGTGGCACCTCCTGAAAAGATGTCCCAGCTCAGGATTAACCTTCATAGGCATGGCACTGGTTCTTGCTTACTGCATCTTTGTGCAGTGAGTCTTTGGGGGCCAGCACCCCCTTTGTTTGTGATTCTTTGCTTTCAGAAACAGGTCTCTGTCCTCACCTCTCCAGGCTTCATCCAGCTCATCTTTGCTAAACCAGAGTTGGGTGCTGTGGATGGTGCAAGTGTGGAATTGGACCCGGAACACAACATCCCTCTCAGTTCCTTGGAGCTGCTTATGGTAGCATTTCACCTGAGGGGTGAAGGGAAGGGGAGCAGACACAAAAGTTGCCACTGGGCACAGTTTTTCCCATCTGGCTTGCATATGTTTTCCCTTACCCCATGCCCCTCACACATACAATAAGAGCCTAGGGCAAGAGGGATCTGCCGAGGCACTGACAAATACACCACAGCGCTTCTGCACGCACCAGGACCCTGGCTCAGGAGCTGGCTCAAACAGATCTTGTATACATTTGAGCCACCTGGTTGTGGAATCAAGAAATATTGGAGAAAACAAGTTCAGCAGCTTGAAGGTGCTTGGTTATAAGTTCTCCTAATAACCAATAACACTATTTTATATGTGATTTGACGAACAAACACATGCAATATGGTATTCATTCTAAGTGTACTTTGTGCAATGGTATCGGAAGAAAACAATCCTTTAAAATTTCAATATGTTTAACATTTTAATGGTTGTATTGGTTATTGTTTTAGAGCAGTTTTGAGGCTATTGTGCTTTTTAATTGTAATTTCATTGGACAATTATAAGGGCATCTTCAAGTTGCACAGCATTTAAATTTAATAAATGGATAAATGAGTTTGCATGGATAGCTTTTTCTTTTTCTTCAAAAGGAGTGAAAGAATCCCCATTGTTTAGCATTTAGCACTGAAATTTACAAAGTTAAGAAAGCACATTTGGGATCTCTTAATAGTTAAATTATATCAATTTTAAAATAAAATATTAAACCAAACAGCTTCTTCTTCCTTGTTGGGGGACTGAATGAAAAATCCCACTCAGTTGCGGCAAGAATCTTCACACTGGTAATAGGTGGTGAATTGGTGCCCACACTTGGAACACATATGAAACCAGCCCCTGAAAGCCTTGAGCCCCAGAGAAGCCTGGCTAAGATGACAAAGGCACAATGCCCTCCCGCCCCTTGAGACCGGCAGCAGAGGCCCTCCTCCAGGAGCCTTCGGTGAGAGATGTCAGGAGGCAAAGTACCCGGAGGAGGGCCTTCTCTGTGGTGGCGCCCCATCTGTGGAATGCGCTCCCCAGAGAGGTCTGCCTGGAGCTGCCTTTATTCGTTTTTTGGCGCCAGGCCAAGACCTTTTTATTCAAACAGTATTTTAATCATGTTTAATATTTATATATTTTATTATGCAGCCAGTGTGTTTCCAGGTTTTAATTGTAATTGTTTTATTTGTTACTTCTGTGAGCCATCCCGAGGCTATGTAGCAAGGGGATGGCATATAAAAACTTTAAATAATAAATAAATGGCTCCCTTTGATCATTTTTGTGGCCCCTGTCACTCCTACCGTCACCAAATTTGTTGTGATAAGAAAATAGCTGGGAGTGGCAGCAAAGGAGAGTCCATTTTTCTGTGCTCTCACCACAGAGGCTTCCCACGCTTGCCCTGGGCCATGCACACCGGGGCCTGCCTCCAGCTCCTCTGCTCTGGAGCATAACAAAAAAGACGCTGTGGGGATGCAGAATCCATACTGTGCAATGTACAGAGGCCACAAAAATAGATGGCATAATATACATTGATATTACTGTGATGTATTTATTTATTTAAAAGTGACACAATGCCACTGTGTGACATGTTGCTTCCATGCCCCCATTGCCTATAGCTTTTTATGTGAGGGGGGGCAGGGGAACAAAGATCATGGCAATGTCATACTGTGCCCTGTATAATATGACACTGGGAAGAGCTGAAGGTCAGTGGAAGGCCACCTGCTTTGCCCACAGAAGCTCCCCATCTCAGTGCCCAGCATCTCCAGGTCAGACTCATACAGAGTCCTCCTGGCTGGTTCCTGTTGATGGACCAAGGCTCCGACACAATAGAAGGTGACTTCCTATGTTCTGACATGCTACCAGGAAGAGGAAAGGAAAGAAACATGTCATGATGTTAGCTCCGTATTTCTACTCTGAGCTGCTGTCAGCACTCACCATGACGTCCCCTTTCAAGAGCAAGGCTGGCTCCAGAGAGATGCAGACTTTCTGAGTCCCGCTGGCTCCGTGGAGGCTGCTGCAAGACACAGAGCAACACAAACAGAGATGGGCTTCTCCGATCAGGATACTGGTCCGGAGCCCAGAAAAGCCCACAGGCTTTTGTCCCAGAAAGAACCAAGTCATACGCACTAGATCCCAGAGGTGTAGACCAGCTGCATGGACTGGTAGATCTTCAGGAACGGTTGATAACCTAGCATAGGAAAGGAAGCTCATACACATTACTATCACACATTGAAAGTTCAGTTCACTGGCCCCAGCAAGGAAGCATGCAGAGGGATTCAAGGAAATTCTACCATGGGAAATAAGAAACAGAATAGTGCACGCAATCATGGGCAACATATTTGCAAAAACAAGGGTGGGCTTGTGCTCCAATTTCCAAAAGGAACATGGGCACATGTTTTTGAAGGTACCCATGGTACAGAATCTCAGTTCTGGCCCCAGCAGCAAATTTCACACACAGAGCATGTGAAATGCACAAAAACACGATGTGCAAAAAATATGCCTGGCTTGCACAAGGGAGGTGGTGGATTTCGTGACACCATTGTGCATCCTTTGAGCACTTACCTCCTCCAGCCTCAAAAGCAGGGATAGCCGGGAGCAGGACGTGATGCAGAAAGAGGGTGTTGCTGTTCATCTTGATTGTGCCCGAGAGTAGCCCACTGAAATAATGGATGTACCTGTCCACAGAGAACAGAGAGGGGTCAGTCACAAGCTCTTTGGGCAGGGGTGGGCCAATGGTGTCCACAACATCCATCATCCCTTGCCTCAGGTATTTCAGTTGGGGGCAGACAAGTGGTGCAAAATTATCTGCAGGCCCACTCCTGTCTTAGGGGCATCCACAAGTCACATGAAGGGACTCTCTAACTCCCTGTGTTTATAAAGTATAAATCAATAGATTATAAATTAATAGTGCCTGTATCCCCCCAATGTGTGAAGCTCATGTCCAGGTTGTACCACAAAGTACAAGTGGGGTCTAGGTGGCCACATGCCCTCCTTACAGAAAATAGAGCTCTATTTGAAGAACGATGTTCCATCCAAAGGAATCCTCTATCTAAAAGGCTGTCCAGGCCAGCTTGGTTAAAAGATCATGAACTGTCAGAAGGAAAAGCTGCAGAATCCTTTACACAGCCCATCAACAGCACCTGGAGTGTAGTCTGAGCAAGTCTTACCAAGGCATCATGGTAAGACGTCTTGAATTTGCATTTAAATTATAATAATGATCTCTAAATGTGGATCAATGCATCTAAATTAGCACGTGCAACTATTACCCAAATCAACATCCTCTTTTTTGTCAATTCACAGTGGTTCTATTCAGTGGGATGCCACCCAGTGCAGTATTTCCCAAAGAAGTAAATATAGAAAGCCAGCATGTTGGGGAGAAAGGCTACACTACAACCCATCTCCTCAGCACCTACCTCATTTTCTATGCACAGAGAACATCCTTTCGTATGGAGAAATAATCAGTGATGTTAGTCACCCCCATCCTGACATGCTATGGCTTCGATATAGGCTTACCACTTCAGTGAAGACTGTACCAAGCACAATGGGACTCTAACCACAAACCTCTAGATGTTGGCAAGGAGGGTCTCACCTCTTCTGGGAGGGTTGCAGGGAGGCAGCCACCTTGTCCTCACAGAACTTGCGCATGGTCAGTGTGCTGAGGGCCTGGTCTGCACTAAGGAGAAAAGAGAGGGTGTGTGTGTGTGGGCATGCACATGGTTGCAACCTTAGGAGTTACTCTGCATGAGACACCGAATACAAAGACCACTCAGCCATCTGAGTGGGATGGTGTAAACTGGGTGTCCAGCGCCAGCAGGGGGTTGGACCCGATGGCCTTCATGGCCCCTTCCAGCTCTACTATTCTGAGATGGTATGATTCTATGATTACTGTGGATTCTACCCACAGAGACTGAGTCTAAGCAAGGCAATTCTGGAGAAAGGGGGAAAATGGGATCACAGAATGGGTAGGATGAAGGTTGTGGGTGGGTGGGGGGAGAGGGAGAGAGAAAGAGGGGAGTTATGGTCTATGCAGAATGACAGAGTCCCACCCACATGCTCCACCTGCCCAGTACCTTGCAGAGATTTTGCTGTAGTACATGTAGGCCGCTACAATCACGCCAGTCTTGCCCTTGTTGCCCTGGCACAAAAACGAGAGCAAGAGAGAGACAACAATGGAGCTAGGACCATAACATCAATAGGACTGCCAGCCCAGGGGAGGTGAAAGCTTTTGCAACAACCTTAGACCCAACTTGGAAGGAGTGGGAGACAGGAAATGCATGTCTATACAGATGAAAGGGAGAAGCTGTCCCATCAGCCCTGTTGAACAACTATTTAATTTCCCCTCCCTTTTCCATCCCCATCTCCATTTCCTTGTGTGCCATGCCTTCTTTGATTGTAAACCTACCAGCAGGGATTTGCTCTCTGATTTTCATGATAGCATGAAAGCAGTTTCAGGAGTCTTTTTGATTGAAGAATGGGGAACAATATTTTAACAGAATAAATGATGCTTTAAAAATCTTTTTTCCTGGATGAAGGCCATAGCCTACTGTTACTTTTGGTTGGGATCAATCGCAGGCATTTGGCATATGCACCCCCAGCCATGTTCTGACAGATCTGGCTTCAGATTTTGATACTATTTAAGCTTTGCATGCAGGGGGATCCAGATTCCTGCAGCCTTGAGGAGGGGGTTCCTCCACTAGGTAATAGGTTAGTGAAAGCCCCTACGTGCGATGCTGAAGGTTGGCAGAGGTCGGGGAGATGTCTTAATGTGAGAGTGGGGAAGGAAATACTGAATGGAAATCAGAAGAAGCAGCTGGTGGGGGAGAGACAGGTCTGGGACTGAGTATGAGCAGGACAAAAAGGCAGAGGAAATAAATAATGGTAAAAAGCGTGTTGGCAGAAAAGGAGTGAACTGTCTGGACTGGAGACAATATAAAAAGAGGGAGGCAACCTGGTTCAGCACACATACAGAAACGTCCTACTTTCTTCAGCAACTCGATTCTCAATTCAATTTTAAGATTCCTGTAGTGACTAGATTCTTGCGCTCCTGTGTCAACCTATTTGCATCCTTAACTCCCTTCATAGTCTTCGGCTGATTAATGTATGTGCAGCAGGGGTGAGCAACTTGTAGTCCTCTAGATGCCTTGGTTTGTAGCTCCCAGCATGCCTCATGGCTGGTTATGTTGGCTAGTGTTGATGGAGACTGTGAGCCAAAACATCTGGAAGGCCACAAATTGCCCATCCCTGATTTCAATCAATGTAAACACTGAAAACACTCAACAAAGCTGATCTTGGAAGAAGCTAACAGATTATTTAACTTATAGAGCAAAAGCTATCAGACATTATTAGAAGGGGGAAAAAGCCACCTTTAAAAGTTTAATTTCCCCTCCTCCATTCAATTTGGGGATGTGGAATAATATTTCTCCACCATGCACCAAAAACAATCAATGCTACATATCTCCAAATCACTCCAAAAAGGTGGACAAATTCAAGGTCTATCAGCATTGTGGTAGATGTTGCTGTGAAGATCTTGATTCAATTTCTACAAGCACAAGAAAGTTTGCATGCCAAGCCACATGGAGGAGATTTCTCCTGACGTATAAAAGATCTTCTGTTTGTGGTTGATCAGTCTGACAAGCCAGGGCATTATACAGAATGTGAAGCATTCTATTTTTCAATGTTGTTATTAGTTGCGAGCCCTCAGCAGCTGTAGCTATGCCACCATTGTCACAGGAACAGTCGGAGAGGCAGTTTGGGGATCATACAGAAGGCCTACACTTCATTCTGTTTCTACCATCCACAGTCAGATCCCCTAAACTTATAGCTATAATGGCCTGGAAGAAGAGAGCATATTGTCCTGCACCTTGCAGTGAAGTACAACCACATGCTGTGGGTCTGAGTTTAGCCAGGTCTCCATGGCTTTGCAGATGGAACAGATTTTGTCCAATGGTGGGGCATGCAGGTCAGGCCAGCCAAAATCTTGCACCTGTGCCAGGGAAGAGAGAAAAGTATCATAATTAAGGGCTTTTAACACCACAGATATAGAGAGACACAACACATGGGACCAGACCATAGAATTCTTTTATTACAGAACAGTGCATTCACATTATTTCACCCCAAGGAATTCCATTTCAGAAAGACTTTTGGGTGACTTTCTAGTGACGGTAGAACCCAAAGGGGAAGGAATAAACTTTATTAATATTAGGATACTCTACACAAAATGAACAACTCTATATGTATAGATTTTGGGCAGTGGGGTGGGGGAGAACATTATAAAACTGTTAGTTTCTTCAGTTTTTTTGCTGACAGTGAAAGGTTCGAACTCCTAGAAAATGTAGCAAAGAGGCATTTAGCTGAAAGTAAAGAGGGGGAGGGGGAAGACAGGGAACAAGATAAGAGCACCAGGACAAGGAACTATCTTTGGCGAAGCACTGACAATATGGGTTGTATCCAGGCTTAGTCAAGCTTTCAGACCCTTGGAACCAGTGCGATAAGTTAGTCATAACTAACTGGTTTAATTGGGTCTGCTTTAAGATTAAGTCTACATCTAGGAAATAATGATTTATTTTTTCAATAACCACTTGTACTTCTTTGTGATAACTCACATTTTATATCCCTCTGGTTTTATACATTCACCACATACACAACACACTTATAGGTCTTCCCAACAAGCTTGAGGACCAGAAACTTATTCTATTTTAAAATGATCAACTATATTCCTGGGCTTTTGGAGGAAGTATCATCTTCTGTTACTGGCCATGCATATATTTAGACAATGTGATACAAGACTCCTTTACCATTGCTATAGAGTATAATTCATCATTTTATTACTTATATAAAATTGAAGAACCAGAGCGAGAGGCATTGTGTGATAATCACACAACAATACATAGGAAAAAGTTGAGATGGGAGGATGGACAGTTGTTAAGGGAAACTTTAGCTCCTTCCTGATCCCGTCCCAGAATGTGCCTTAATTGGCCCAGTGTTGTGACTGTCAAGTGCTGTGTTGATTGTGAGTTCTGAGGACCAACAAAGCAGGTGCCATCCACATCTAGCACCTGGAAATATGTTGCGTTATACTTGTTTCTCTCCATTCCTTTTAATCTGCTGAATGTGACAGTGACCACTGTAAGCTGAACTCACATTTTATTTAATGCATCTGGGACTGCGCCCAGACTGTTATTCTCTGAGCTTCCACAGTGAGAACACTGAAGACTCACTACTGTAGCTTGCTTCTGTCTAGATCTGCCTCCCACTCCTGAGCCTGGTGCCTCCAAATATGTTGGACCACAACTTCTAGCAACCCCCAGAAGGTGGGCAGAGTCTGGTCCAGACATGCTCCCAGATCAACATTACCCACAACCTCTATCCTCTCACCTTGGGGTTCAGTCTGATGATGTCATGCCGTTTTTCTGATAGGTTGAAGAGCTGTTGAAACAAAGATACATCACTTTGGCCTCTGTGCTTAAGGTCACCAACCAACCTGCATTTTCCTTAACCAACCAATTTTCTCTCAGCTAATCAGTACGACATCAAAAATGAGCAAACTCCAGATGCCATCCCAGATCTATGCCAGACTCTCCACAGTCCAGTGAGGTTGTGTGGCCCTCTTCAGTCATACCCCAGCATCCCTGCCTTCTGCTAGCATTCCACCTTTTACGGCTCTATCCCACATGGGCTTCATTGGCTGCCTTGCCACAGACCTGCAGTGGCTCGTGTGCATCAGTTGCCCAGGCTCCCTACCCCCTTGCAAAGTCACATTCAAAACCAACCCATCTCATTAGTCTGCCCATAAAAGGTACAAACTGCCTCCTCTTTGGAACAAGAGGAAATGCTCATGCTGTATTTCAGATCTGGCATTCATGTGGAGGAATGGGAAGCACAGGAATTAGAGCATTGAGTTGAGTATAGCAAAGCAAAGCAATGCAGCAAAGCCACTGCCTTCTCGTCAAGCAGACAGGAATACCCTGTCCTCCCAAACACAGTCAAACCCACATAGAAAATGAATAGTTCCTGTCTTTCGATTTGCTAAAATCCCATAAAGCTGGTGCACAGCACTTTAAAAGAAATAACTGTAGTGAAAATAAGAAAGTTTGAACCAATAAAACACTTTAACTTTGAAACTAACCACATAATTTAAAAAGTGAAATTAAAAATATGCCTCTTCACACCCTTTCTAATGGCCAACAGAGTGAAGTGTCAACCGCAGAGCTGGATGAAGTGTATTCCACCAATTGGAAGCAACACAGGATGCTGCATGTCCCAGTGTATCTTCACCCCTGACTTTCCTGGAGCAGCTTACCATGTGCTTGTCCTCATGCTTGGATTTTAGCATCTGGGCCACCTCCCGGAGGTTGCTACGGTAACGCTGCTCCTCCAAAGCAGGTGGGAAGAAGACAGAGATGATGCGCTCCGTGATGTAAATAAGGTCAAAGTCATATTTGCGTTCCATTACGTGATCCAGGCTGAAACTTCTAAGAAGGAGAAAGCAACACGCTTTGAAGAAGCTGGGTCTCTCAGAGGCCCTGTGTACCACACTGTACAAGGAGCCAAAGAACACATCAAGGTAATAAAAAAATTAATACGCATGTTTCAAAAGATAAAGTTTTAAGTTAATAGAAAGAAGGAACTCTTCCTTTACAGTTGCATGTGCAGAATTTCAGATCTGCTGATTAGTTCTACAATGCTTGTTCACAGTTTTCCAGGGACACATTTAAGTTGTGCATAGGCCCTGAAACAATGCACAACAAAGCCACTGGTCCATGCCACAGTCTATCCTAACAGTAATCATTACTATTCTTTGTTTATTTATTTGGTTGGTTTTAGATTTATATCCTGCCTTTTCATGGAATTTTAGACACAAGGAGAAACCTTGGAGGTCATCAATGTCCCACTCTATGTAGAATCTACAGTGTGGGGGCAATTACAACATCCCTGACAGATGACTGCCAGGCCACAGCTTAAAGACCTCCTGGGAAGAAGAACACACCCCTTCCATCCCTCTGTTCCACTGGCAGATGGCTTGCACCATTTGTTCCTGTCTGGCCAAACTCTGCTTCCATGGAATTTCCAACCACTGGTCCTAGCCTGGTTTTTTGGAGGAACAGAGGGCATGTACGGCAGAGAAGTAACTTAATGATCTCCAAACAAGCAGTCACAAAACAGTTTTGACACCTTTTCTGGTGTTATGAGCACTAGGTCCTCATTTTGCCCAAGAAGGTGGCGCCATCTGAAGATACCTCACCTCTACATGTTATGGACATGGGAGAAAACACTTTTTCACATTTCTTAAGCTTAAGGAGCAATCACTTACTGTGCTGGAGCTACAGATGATGGATGTGCAGCCTACATTAGTACAGTATTTGATCCCAAAAGGTGCTTTGAGGGGAGAGATGCTTTTCAAATAAAAACCATTTTTGGCAGTGTCAAAACTGTTCCCACCCCATTGCTGATTTGGGTCAAAATGGAGCAGTGGTATTTATTTGTTACCCAATCGACCAGTATGCAGTTCAAACTGAGTGGCCAGCTTCACTTCCATGACTGATACAGGGTGTTTGCCCTCACTCTTAATCAGCTTCTTCTCTGCCTCAGTGACACTGTTGTATAGCCAAATCTAAACAGCAAAGTAGAAGTGTGATGTTATTGATGCCATTTGCTGCACGATCTCTAATCGTCTTAATTCACCCGTCTGAGGAAGGTGAAGATGTCCTAAGTTAAAATAAAAAATGGGATCAACCAAATCAGCAGCAGAGAGACAAAGTAATGGGAGTGACCATCAATGAAAAATATATTTTCACAATTAAAGTATTGGGGGGTGGGTGGAAATGGTTCTCACTCGCTCCCGAAAAGTAATACTCTGTATCTAAAAATCAAAATGAGAGAACATTTGGAGCTTTAATCTCTAATGCTTATTTTGCTGCTAACCTCCTATAGTTTTGATTGGATGTTTGCCCAGGCCACTTCCCCAAATGTTCCACTTTCATTTTGTGAAATCTGATTTTCCACATCAGATTATATGTGCAGATTTGTTGTGCTTGGGAGTTCACTGGGCTGCATTCTTCATATACAAATTATTCCGTGAATGCTCACAGCCTCAATGTGTTCTCAATTTAATGGGAGAAGTTACTTCTGGAATTCATAATATTTTTAAAGGATTCCTTAAGGGTACATTCCTTTACCTGAGACAAACTGGGCCATGGGATAAGGTTATGACAGAAGTCTGCTATATCAAGAGAATTCCAGAGATTGGAGGTTTGTTCTGGTTGTACTTAACCTTTCTGAGTCTGCAGGCAGATTCAGAATTTTAGGAAAGTGTTCTGGGTACTCTCACAAAATGGCTGCCAGGGTGCCTTTTCTATTAATAATACAGCTGCCATAGTCAGTCACAAGCAAATGTAACTTGCCCAAGAGCTTAAGTACAGAGCAAAGGTGAGATCCAAAACACAAAAGCCCTCTTTAAAGGTGGTACTTGAAAGCAGAATTTTTCTTTATAGTATGTCAGCATCTGAGCATTTTTTTAAAAAAAGAAGAATATATTTTAAGAATAAAACAAAAACCAGGAATTCTCTGTGGATCAGAAGTCCCAGAGTTAGAAGACAACCTACAGGTACCTAAGACAACTCAGAAGAGTAATAGAGTAGAAATTGGCTAGAATGTGTCCTGCTCTTCATACACACAAAGACACACACAACTGTCAGTCTTTCACCTAATGCCATATCCTTACCTAGGTAATGTGTTCCGTTGCTTTGCAGTGTTGAGGGATTTTGTAGAGCCCTGAAAAATAAACACAAGAAAGAAAGGGAAATCAGTGTTTAACAAAAAGCCATCAGAAAAGCATTGTTAACTGCCCCCAAAGGCCTCCATGTTCCTCATCCCTCTTTTAGAGACTGCAATTCTTATAATTTTTGACAATTAGCTATGCTGGTTAGGGCTGATGGGAGTTGCAGTCCAACATCATCTGGAAGCCACACCTTTGCTTCAAAGTCAATACCATTGGTAATAAGCAGTATTGTTAAAACATATCCTAAATAGAACATAAAACACCAATTTTTAGAAACAAGCTGCAAAGTGTATTGTTTTGTGTTGCTTTTTTAACCCTTTAGGAACAGAGACCATTTTCTCTCTTTTTGAACCTGATGTAGTTGCCTCTTGCCCACAAACTTTTCAATCATAATAAGTTCAATTGTCTTTAATGTGTCACAAGCACAACTTTGTCCTTTCATAAATATATTCGAAGCTTGCCCTGAGCATTCTCTGTGTGAGCATGTTTAACATGAAAGCTGAGAGTTTGCTCTCCAGGACTCACCATCCATGGCCCCTTGAAAAGAGTTGTGGTACCTTTTGGAGCACACCATTTGCCAGGTGGTGCGTGTGGGTGGGTGAGTTGTTAACACTTTTCAGGGTCTTTAAGAGCTACAGGCCAAAAGGGTTCTATTGTCCACCATCAAGGGTCAAGCTATAGAAAAATATGGTAGGGGACATGTAGAGCTTTTCTATACAAGGTTCTGATTGCATCATTATTGTCTCATGTTTGTTTATGGATTCTGTAGACAGTATCATGATCTTTCAGTTTTGTTTCTCATATTAAACAGCACTTTTGGTTAGATTTTTTTTAGAACAGAGAAAATATGATATTATTTGGAATGTGCAAGAAAACACTTTCCCCTTATATGAACTGCAGCATGCTGTTATGTGTTACAACCAAAGAATGTATCAAAAGTGCTTTGAATGCTTTCAGGGTGAAGTCCTATGCATGGTCATGCTCCCTGCATGTGCCAGCCAACAAGGGAGGTATGGAGTTGCTTTGCTCTCAACATGTACGAACCTGCCCTAAAAGAGCTACATAAATGTGAGATATTGTGACTTGTTTACAACAGCTACAGCCATACCATTTGAACAGCCAGTACAGTTTAACACCACATATCCAGAGTCAAGGTGAACTTCATTAAAAAACCAACCCAAACCTTCTCTCCCCCATTCACACTGCCTGGACCCAAAACAGTATTTTGAAAGCCTGTTAAACACATTGTGGAATAGAACCCTAAAATTCAAAAAATCAGAGTGCCAGTTCAACAACAACAAACATCAATGTATGCTGTCTCCTTCCAAAATGAATAAAAGGCTTTGAACTGCCCAGGGAGCTTTGGCTACTGAAATGACTAATAACAAAGTTCATCATAACAACAACAAAGGGTTATTATGTGGCATGCTTCCAGGTAAGAGTTTTAGGCTGCATAAGCCAAAAATCTCAGAGGCTCACACTTATCCGGCCCAGAGTGGGATGAGAAGCTTTGCCTCCCCACTCGTTCCACTCTGCATTTTTGAGAAATTGGCTTTTTCAGCCACCTGGTGACAGCATTTCCCAAAGGGATGGAAGGACACTGGAGCATCTTCAGGATCACTTGCATCATGGTCAGCCCAGTCTCTCCCCCTGCCACACTGCCTTTAACGCTTCCCCAGGGTGGCTTTCCCAGCCATGGAGAACAGCCGGAACAGTTCTTTCTGCACCAGCGGCAAGGGATTGAGGGAATGGGACCAGAGCCACAAACCCCAGATCTGAGCTCAGAGCACTGTCTGCTGTTATATGGCCCCTCCTTGTACGCCACTGCTCACTTCCTTATGGTACAATTAACCTGCTCGTTCACAGTATTTAACAGGAGGTTCAGATAACATCTTCCATTTGTAAGCCTCCTGTGTTTTTCCACCATTTCTTCCTTCTTTTTTTTCCCAGCAGGAAAAAAAAAACTACAGTATTAAGGAGGAAAAACTGGAATAGCTGCATAATGCCTTTGGACCTGTAATGCTAGGAATCCTCTACCTTGAAGTATGCTAAAGGTGTGCATTTGTTTAACTTAATTTAACTTAACCAAAAGTAAGGTGCAAGGTAAAGGCCTGATGCTTCAAGGGTGAAGGCTCCATAATTAAACACTACCAATTGAAAATTTATTTGTGTATTTATTTAAAGCTTTTATAGACTACCCCATTACTGGTGTCTCAGGATGGTTTACAATATATTGAACATATAATATGGTTTTCTTTATTTCAGGCATGTTTCAGAGCAATTAATCATTACGGCTGACATAGACCCTTGATAGAAGTAAGTTAGACCCGAAAATTGCTCCATTTTTCTTTGTGGATCAGTACTGTAGTTGTGAAGCATATTTAAGGTTTCCCACCTGTACTAAAACTGAACTGATTATGGGATTACTTACTGAACTTGCATTTTCGTGAATTTGAACCGAAGTGGAGCAATGTCATTCGCAACTGAACCTGAACTAGAAGAGAATTGAAACACTAGATGGTTTGGCTCTCTGAATGCTAGGGGTGTGCATTTATTTGGAGGACCAATTAAAGAGCTTGAACCAAATGGGGAACAGTCAGATTAATTTTAAGTGTTCCAGACCCCTCCACTGAGGACGTGTATTTGCGCACACTGATATAATGGGAAGGGGGTACCTGTCTCCTAAAGCAGAAAGCTACCACAACACTGGCCAGACCTGCTGCTTTGGCAACCTCAGTGAGAACTGCTAGTTTTCTAGGGTGACCAGCATTTCTCTCCCAGCATGCTCCAAAACAATACTACATCTGGAGCAAAGATATGCAGAAAGTAGATCTCCAGCTGTTTCGCCTCAACTCCCAGCATTCCTGACCACTGGACATCCTAGTAGGGCTTCTGGGAATTAAAGGTGAGAACATCTGGAGATCTACCTTCTGCCCACCCTTGATACGGGGCACCTGGGGAAAGGCAATGGCAGCCAGCAGGAGGCTGCTGCAAAGTCAACTATGCTGCCACAGATGTAAAAAAAAAAGTTTATATATATATATATATATATATATATATAGAGAGAGAGAGAGAGAGAGAGAGAGAGAGAGAGAGAGAGAGAGAGAGAGAGAGGAGCACCAAACAGGAACAAAACCTCACTCAAGTAATGAAACAAACATGACTTCAACAAGTGTGCACTGAACCTAATGCAATGTTAACAAACAGGTCACAAAATGAATGAGAACATTAAGCACGAAAATGAATGCAATTGTGACAAGAAAAAAACAAATTCCTCACACAGCCATGACGATTATGTGACAGCATGGGGGCTCGAACACACTGTTTTTAGTCCCTTGCAAATCAGACTTTAGATTAAGAAGCCCCTCGGGCAAAGTTTAAAAGAGTAGGATAAAATGGAGTCTTACCAAATGCTCGATGCGCCGGACTGGGGCTGTATTCCGCCGCTTGACATGCGGAAAAGCAAGCAGAGGGAAGATAAGAATAAAAATATAAAGACATTCTTTTCAAAACAACTAATTCTGGTGTGCAGTTTCTTTTTGAGAACTCTGCCTGCTATCACATGGGAAGGCTTCAGAGGAATTATATAAACTGTCCACTGACAGTTTGATCCTCAAACCTGGGTTGAAGGAGATGTGATAGCAGAAGCTAAGTGACACTCTTCTTCTAGGGTGTGCCATTAAAATGGCCTGTGATTAAAAGAATATGCCTACAATACACAAATGGATCCTACCTCCCAACACAAGTACAGCTACACAGGCCATGATTCCACAGAGCTCCCCATATAGTTTGAGCAAAAGCCTTCGGCACCTTTCCTTTGAGCTCCCCTTTCTCCAAGCACAGGTGGGGAGTGTGGCGCCCTCCAGATGTTGGTGGAGGGCAAATCCCGTCGGCTCCAGCTAGCTTAGCCCATGTGAGGGATGACAGAAATTGCAGTTCAAAACATCTGGAGGGTCACACATTCCACAGCCCTGTCTCCACAGTACGCAAGATAAACAACAATGGATACTTGCAGGGTCTTGTATACTACTCATACCAGCATGCATGTGAGCTCAACTGGTATTATGGGGAAAGCAAAAGAATAAGCACACAGGCAAGCAGATCCTGCCCCTGCCCAGTTCAGGCCTTGCCCTATTGGACCGGCAAGTTTTGATCATGAATCCCACACCTGCTTTCATTCATCTGAATGCAAGGAACTCCACCCCGCCCCTCTGCCATCCATGTAATTGAACATGCTGCCTTATTGCACAGAGAGCAGAACTTACGCAGACGGCCCTTTCAGAATTTGCCTTTTCAAAACGACCCTGTCTGAACCTAGATGATGAGACCAACAAGTCGGCGGGTCCAGAGACATGGGGATGGAGCCAGCAGGCACAGTCCCGACCTTGTATCTACTTCAAGCCCTCACTCGCTCAAGCAAATACCTGGCCAGGTCGTACTTGATTCTAGCAAAAAGAGGGCAGAGCTGTGCAGAGGAACCTGGACAGCCTCTTATCTGCTTCTTGGCTTCTTGGAATCTTGAGAACATTTTTGTACAGTAGGCAGTTGTCAAAAACATCCAAGCGGCTTTGGTTTGCCCTTCTTACATTGGGTGGGGTTGAACGCTTTCTTGTTGCTAGCTGATTAGCTCACAAGAAAGACTGCATTTCCCTCTATATTCCTCACCAAAGAAAAGAGGCCTATTAAATTTCATCAAGATGGGAATGTGACACAATCCTCTTACATTTCATTGCTAAGATTTATTTCATTATTTCTTGAAGGGAAGGTTTACTTTTACTGCCTTTTATTTTGCCATTCAAAGTCCTTGTTGGCATTCAATCTCACATTCCCTGCCCATGAGCTAGACTGATATTGCATCCATTTTACAGATGGGTGATGCCAAGGCTGAGAACATCAATCAAACTTGTTCAAAACCACAGTCATCTAGCTGTGAACCCAGGTCTGTCAGTTAACCTACCCTCATTCTTATCCACACATCTTGGTAGGCATGTCATGAGCACAACTGGCTGGATCCAGGGGTCAGACTAGATGGCCTGGGAGACCCCTTCTGACTTGCTATGTTTCTATCTTAACAAGTTGGAGAATAAACTTTCTGATTTAGCCTTTTTGCAGTCCTCTACATTCAAATACCACTTATGACCTGAAGCATAGGCTCAGAGACCATAGGACTGCAGCCTCAGAAATAGGTAATAGAAAATATGTTAAGAATAGGGATTTAAATGTGATTTCTCATGCAGATCACAGATTAACGAAGAAGCAGGAAAGGACAAACTTATGAAAGAATGCATCTTAAAGTGAGAGGCTGGAAACAGAGTGATCTATTCCTCCCTACTAATAAACAATGCTAAGCATGCTATTGTAGAAGGAAAAATAACACCCAGGTGGTTTCTCTGTGCTGCGGAATGACCATCCTAGAAAGCAACTAAAAGCTTTCCTACATGAGACGTTTATTTTTTAGTTAATCACTATATCTACTTTCGGGACTGCAGGTGGTGCAGTGGTTTAAACCGCTGTGCTGCTGGGCTGGTTGAACGAAAGGTCGCCAGTTCAAATCTGCACAACGGGGTGAGTTCCCATTGCTCCGTCCCAGCTCCTGCCAACCTTGCAGTTCGAAAGCATGCAAATGCAAGTAGATAAAAAGGCACCACTTCAGTGGGCAGGTAACAGCGTTCCGTGCATGTCAGTGTTTAGTCACATGACCACGGAGACTGTCTGTGGACAAACGCTGGCTCCCTCGGCTAGGAAACGGAGATGAGCACCGCCCCCTAGAGTCAGGCATGACTGGACTTAATGTCAAGGGGAAACCTTTACCTTTATATCTACTTTGGGTTTGGTTGCAGCATCAAGATCCAAGCTCAACACATACAGCTTTCCCTTTCCTGCTTTTCTACTTCACAACTTCTAGGTGGAGCTGTGCTATAGCAGTACACAAGGAGATAAAACAGCATTTCCCCCACTGAATTTAATAGCTCATTTTCACTGTTCTAAAAATGAAACAAGATTATAGGAAAGTGCTCTGGAAAAACAGGAACAAAACTGGAGGATCATGAAGTCATCTAAAGAGCATGTAAACAACTGTGTGTGAGAAATCATGAGAATTCAATAAGGGAAGAGTTCTAAGAGGAGAGTCTTAAGATACGTACCACCAAAACTGATAAACATGCTACTAATGCAAATGATGTTGTGCTACTGGAAACTAACTGTGAAGTATGCATAAGAGGAGAATCCAACATTTCTTCAAGCAAGCAGGATTGTACGAGCCATTTTGCAAGCAATTGTACAACTACTTGTGTGAACATAATGAACAAGGGCTGCTGGTGCAACTGAAAGATGTAATTCCATTACTGTTCCATTAGTGATATTTGATTTTGCAGAACAATACCCTCAGACCACCAATGTAACATTTCCCATTGCATTTTGGCCAGCAGATTCCACATGGAGGCACCATTTTAATGCAGCTAAACTCTTGCTACAGTACAACTCTACTCAAAAATACCCCACTGATGTATTCCTCCCAGATAGGGCCAGATCAATCATTTAAGCAGAGTAGAAATGACTACCTCAGGTGGCAGGTGCTGCAGGAAGGGAGAGGACAGGAAGGCCCTGGAAGTGCCACATGGTCTGCCTTGGCCCCACTAAGCTAGCCCTGCTGTCCTCTGGTACTGACATTACATTCCACTGCTCAGTTGATTTCTGAACATGGAATGGTGGGCGAGGGGAACATTTTTTTCTTTGGCCTCAGGAAGCAAAGTCTCTCAGGCTGGCCCTGCTTCTAGGTAAGTCAATACAGGATTGCAGCCTTATTTTCTCAGAGTGAGTAGAGGATGGGTGCTATTTTGATTTTTCATTTGTGAAAACTCTGAAGCCAATGCTGCTTTTGATCTTATTTTAAACTATGTTGGACTGGATCTAGAAATTATCTTCTGTATACAGAATGGGGCTTTCCATGTTCTTTCCCCTGTACATCCTCCAAATCTGCTCTGGACAGATCTGGGAGGACCATCTGGGGGAAATTTGGAAGGTTCATTTATACTCTGTCACAGGATCCAGCTGGGGGCCCTCTGGCTGGCAGACAATCACACCTGCATCCAGGCCATATTAACTAACTAACTAACTGATTAACTATTATATTTGTATTTGTATCCTGTCTTTTTTTCCTTTCAAGGAAATCAAGGCGGCTTACATAACCCTCCTCCTCTCATCCTTTCAACAACAACCCTGTGAGGTAGGCTGGACTGACAGTCAGTGACTGGCCCAAAGTCACCCACTGAGCTCCATGGCAGAGTGGGGGCTAGAACCCAGATCTTCTGTGTTCCAATCCTGCATTCGTAACCACTGTACCACACTGGCTCTGACTTTGACATCTAAGACCAGCAATTTGAACTGAGTCTAAAAATGAACTGGGAGGCAATGTCGTTGTTTTATTGCTGGCGTAATACATTCCCTGAAGTTCTCTGCTATGCAGAAGGGTGGCTGAAGTTTCCACACCGTCTTCAAAGACAGTACAACACAGAGTGCATTACAGTAGTTTATCCTGGAAGATATCAAGGCCTTTGCCAGAGCGGCCGGTTGGTCTTTGTTTTAAGTCAGATTTGGCTTCCGCAGCCCCCGAGGCTGCAGGATCAGTGCTAGGTCCAGCAGTACCCTCAGGCTATTTTGCTGATCCTTCAAGGTCCATCCAGAACAAGAGAACCACCAGTTCTCCTTCCCTTTTTTCCCCTCACGACTCACTTTTCCACCTTAGTAAGCTTCACTTTATTTCACCATTACTGACTCCATCTGGAGCTTCCACCTCATCTAGTTCTGAGCAAAAGAAGAAACAGAACTGGCTGCATCCAAATATTGATGGCCCACAACCTTGGAGCAACTCCTCCCAGCAATATGCTATCTGAGAGGAAGAACAAGACGGCACCTTCTTCCCCATCCTATGTATAAAAGTTGACTGGACTGGCAGATGAATTTTATTTCCACACTGGTGATGTGATGGCATCAGCTGTCTTAACCGTACAGCAGTAGCCTACCTTAGGGGACACAGGGCAGGTTGTTTGGCACACAGCTCTCTCTTCCAGCACTTTGTTGCTGCCATCTTTGTTGCACTCATTTCCTCAAAATGCCAAACAGCAGGGCCAGCCCTGGATTTCACAGACACTGCAAAGCATGGGGGGGGGGGTCATGAACCCCCAACAGAAAAACCTCAGAGGGTAGAGCTAGAGCAGCATAAGGGGACAGGGGTACAAAACAACCCTAACAGCACAAAGATTGCAGCAGAAGCATCCATGGCTGCTCACAGGAAAGGTGACTTCACATATGCAAAAGATTTAAAATTCCACATCTGCTGTGGGCTGCATGCCACATGCTGTAGCCTGGCTTCTGGAAGATTCCTCAAGGATAGCACAGAGGGCTGAATGCATGCCATGAGGTTAAAGTGAGTGCAGAGGCCTCCAGAAAAGCCATTAGCAAAGAAATCCCATTCATGCCTTTCTTAACTTGGTACCTTCTAGGTATTTGTACTACAATCCCCATCATCCTTGACAATCAGCTATGCTTGCTGAGACAGATAGAAGTTGTAGTATAAAACCTCTGGAGGGCAGTAGGTGGGGAAAGCCCACCCTATAAGCTCCAGCAAGTACCCAGTTACAAATTCTACCAGTTTGTCATGGGTTTAGCAGAAAGGCCAGACTCCAAAAATCCAGTGGGAAGGACTCTTTGCTCTCTGCTCTAGATAGCCTAAGCAGATAGTATTTAGATAGTTTTAACGTTAAAGCAAAAGTAAAACATGATGATAATCTCACAAAAAGGAAAAAATGAGTTCATTTTATTGAATGAAAAACCCCTACACAAAACACAAATATAATGAAACTTCTCACTAAATTATTTGAACAACAAAAAGCAAGTTTTGGGCTTATACAGAATATCTCATTGATCAGAAAAAAATGTACACTGAAAACAGAGGATGCATTAAAATGGGTGTACTAAACACTTGCACCTCTGTAGAAGCACTCACAGTGTTATGTGCATGTGTACAAATATCACATCCCCAAGGAGAGATCTCAGAAAGTCCCCGACAGCAGTTTTACCAACACTTTAAAAAAACAGAGTGGAAGCAACAACAACTATGATTATATCTTTATAATAAACTAAAACAGCTGAACAATAGGTTGATAATATTGATTTAAAAGAAAATCAACATGAACAATTGTTGAACTGGATAAAATTGTAGGATGTTTTTTGTTTTTTAAGCCTGAAACTTGGGGTGGGGAGGGGGTGAGGCAGAAAATTCAATCAGCATTTGCTGTGCTGAGAAGTATGTCTGCCAAAAGTTTTGCAACATTTGTAGGGAGTGCAGGATCACTCTATAGAAGAAAAAAGGACCATAGTGAATCCCCTTCTTAATAAGATACACCTGTAAGCAGCCAAAAATCATTACATGTTTCATTCCATCCCTCTTATATACACGCACATGCAAAGAGAGAGTGAGAGAGAGAAAGGATGGAAAAAGAACACAGATAAGGCACCAAAGGTCTGGCAGATGGGTACAGAGCAGCACTTACCAGATCTGGTGGGGGGAGGGGCTGGCAGGATGATGGCACCTGAAAAAAAGAAGAAATGGAAAACCATCAGTCCAGTTGCACAATCTGCTCTGAGGCCTCCCAGTTTGTCAGCATCCCCAACTCAGACCTTCACAATGCTTTCCCAAATAGCGCCTTCCTCTCTCCATAGTACGAGTTGTGGGGAGGGGAAAGTGACTCTGCCTCACTCCTTGGATTGCCTCTCTGCAAGGCAGGACTGGCCTCTTTTCCCCATCGAGGTATTTGCTTTGGCCTGGGTCGGGCCCTGGTAATGATGGCGCGCACACAGACTGCCATTCATTGTGGCCAGGAGGCGGCACGGCCGGCGCAGGGGTGCGGGGAGCGCTATATTTAGAGAAACTTAAACAGGCTCACCCAAGAAGGAAGCACAGTGAGGCTATTCAGCCCTTTCTCTCTCACCTCATCTGGCTCAACTGCTGCTGCATCCCTGGGTGACCTATAAGAGTACCGTGGGGGAGATCCCAACCATGGTTCTGGAGTAGCAGATGACAGGGAATCCACTCCCTCCCTCGAGAATCTGAGGTCTGCGGAGGTATCAGCCTGGTTTTGGGGCTGTCAGTCCCTCACCCACACCCATGGGTTATTGTTAGCAAAGAACCAAGTTGGAATTTATTAAATCTGACTCATTTCCATCCAACTGCAATTCATTTGCTGGCCATCCCCGTCAAGGCTGCATAACACATGCACATACACACACACAATTCAAGAAATATGTAGGTATGTATGAACATATAAACATCCATTCAGAATGGTTCAGGGTGAACTGAAACAGAACACACAAACATGTGCAAAAATCCTGGTTACTTGTGGTCCTTTCATTAGAGAAAAACAGTTTCAGGATTTGTGGCAGAAGAGCAGGAGAGCATCACTGCATCAAGTAGGGGTGTCTCATCCAGATGCCCTCGACTTACAATTCCCATCACACTGCATAAAGATCACAGGCATTGTAGGCAAAAATATCTGGTGAGTCATACGTTGCCCACCTCAGTTAAATGCTTCACCAACCCACCACTTTTCCACTGATTATGCTCCCCTCCCTGCCCCAGGTCAAATGCTTCCAATTTGCCCATAGAATGCCAGGCACATGGTGTAGGGAGCACACAAAAACCAAACTGTGGATTAGAAATAGGCCGACACATTTTCTAATGTTCTAAGCAGAATATACATTAACTCAGTGGATCTGTCTACTGTGTGATTCATCTGCTGCCTAATAAGAATGCCAAACACTGAGTTGTTGTCGTTCAGTTGCAAAGTTGTGCCTGACTTTTCGTGACCCCATGGACAACATTCCTCCAGTTTCTCCTGTCCTCCACCATCCCCCAGAGCACAGCCAGCCCCACACCCACTGAGAGAGGTGTGTAAAAGACCAGTTCCTCTGAAAAAGGAAGATTCTGTTTCTACACCCATGTTATGCAAAATGTACATCAAATAGTAGACAGGGGAGGTTTTATTTAACAACCTGCAGACAGATAGAGGAACTTGTGTGCAGGCCACCGAGACTACTACAGTTAAAGGTGCCAAAAGGTGGAACCAGGAGGTCACCTACAGGGGCTGAGGCCCCAAATTTCTCACTTGGAGCCCCAAATCTCTGGGAGGTAATCTGCTCTACCATTGTGATGTTCACAAGGGCTCTGATTATCACTATTCCATTTGCTACCCCCCTAATAGCTGACTTTTGGCCCACATGTCCTTCTCTTCCTGCTACCCCCCCCCCCCAAATCTTCCTACCTGAGGTTTTTTCCTGAAATCAAATTCATGGCCTGTTCATACATCCTCTTTTACAAACAAGAAAGTCCTTGCAAGACAAGGTCCTTTAAAGGCACACACAGGGAGAATTTAGTGCAAACATAAATTAGTATGTGCACATTTCTGCAGTATCTTGGCCTGTAAGCCTAACCCCTGGGTCTTTTTGGTGTCCAGCACCATCCCTAAAAGGCACAACTCCATGCAAGTTTGGATATGAAAAACCCCACAATTTTGTGAGGGTATGCTGGGAGTTGTGGGAATTTTTTTTCTGTTTAAACTTGCACAGGATTGCACTCTGCTTCTTTTTAGAGATACTAATGTACCTAAAGGCAATTTATATGGGTTTTGTGGATCCTGTTTATTCCATTGAATTTTTACAACCTCTTCTGCCAAATTTGTCTGCCAGGAAGATTTAAACAGCCTTCCAAAAAACTGAGCTGTATCCAATGTTAGACCTACTTAGAGCAGACCCAATGAAATAAATAGAAGTTAGGCTCAGATTGAAGACTACCCAATATTTCCTTACACTACAGACAGAAGCATGAATTCCATAGGTGGAGAATATCGTATGGAAACTGCCACAGCATTTGAACACACAAGTTTCTAGCCACCTTTGTGTATGAGGATATCATTGTGCAATACACTGGCTGTGTGAAAGAGGCAAAGCCTCTGTGTCCTCAAGGTAATGGGCTACCATCTCATCTCTCATCACCTCCTTGAATTTCAACTTTCTTCCAACCTCTCTTTTTTTCTGCATTGCCCAAAGGCTCTGTATGTCTCATGCCTGAAAGAGGCAAATCAAAGGAAATGATGTGGTTTTGCAGGGGTGTCAGAAAGTGGAATATAGCTGAGAGGAGGGGCAGCCAGCTCCCTGTTGCTCATTTTTGCTGGGCAGGGCTGGTGCCAAGGGTAAAAATAACCGGACACCCGGTGAGGAGCTACACCCCAGCAGGGCCCACCGGCTTACTGCTCCCTATCCCCTCTTCAGCCTGTGTGTTCACCTGCCCAAACAATGCTGGTACTGAGGAAGAGAGGCAGAAATGTCATCGCCTGCCTGCTCGTTGGTGGCAGTGATGAGAAAGTGGCAGAGGCTGGGGTGGGGGCTGAGGGAGAGGGTCCACCGAGGGTGCCGTGCCTGAGGGCCTCAAAAGCTCAGGAGCCGACACCGAGGCTGGGTAATGAAGAAAAGAGCACTGGCAGGAAGAAGGCCGGAGTGCAAATTGGCAGGTCACAGGCCCTTGCCAAAACCAACTATCAACACATTTCAAATTACATGGTGGATGAGCAAGGATACAATTAAGGAAGTAGACACTGTCAGAAGAGAGGCCTGCTGGTCTGTGGCGCAGGGTGTGTTTTTCCTACCCCATTCTCTAATTAAAAACAACAACCGAGTGGTGGAGTGAGTGCTTTCTCTTCAGAAGCCCTGGTGGGTCTGCCGAAGCTGCAGTTGGTACCCACAAGGCACCTAATGAGGATTGTAAAATTATTGGGCTCTTTTATCTTGCCAGCTGAATGACTGCCTTGGCTAGCAGAAGGAAGGTCCCGCCCCATCTCCCTGTCCACCCAGAACAGAGCTCTTCTTTCCACAAGAGGGCCACGTTCATTTCCTGTGGAGCTCCCGGTGGGCCGAAGGAGATGGGGCCCACATACCAGCATTCTTTATTGTAAAGTTGTCAGTGCCACTAACTGGCCTTTAAGAGAGGCATTTCAGTGCTTCAGAATGGAGAAAAACTGCAAAGCCTAGAAGCCACCAAACTAGCAACAATGAGAGGAAAGAGGTGCAGCCTCTAGGAGGATGTCAGTCTGGTCAATGTATCAATAAGAGGGAGAGGACACTGACAAGGAGTGTTGGGAGTGAGTGGACACAGCATCAGCAAGATCATGAGCAGCAGTCAGGTTTCTTACAATTTTTCTTGGGTTGTTCTATGGCCCATTCTTACCAAACCACTCACAAGCCACCCTACAGTGTTTGGATGACACAATAAGCCACACTGAGAGCAAACAACACTACAACAAGCTATGGGTTCTCAGCATGGCTTACTCTTGGTTAACATAAACCATGCTAGTGCCATTGCACCAGGTTTAGCTATTCTGAACAAAAATGCCACACAACCCACCAGGACTTATAATGTTGTGAGCACCAAGTCAACTACCTGATGAGCTAATTTTCATGGCTGATGATGTGTACCCATTCAGCATTCCAAGGGGAGGGCTGTATTCAGAATGAAACTTGAGCTGAATGTTGCAGTTCTGCCTTTTGCAAATACTGATCCCAGAAAGTAGGTAAATATTTGTTATGCAATAGTATTATGTATTCTCTTCATTTGCATGAAATATCCATCATTTTGCATCAAAAGCACCCATATTCTTGTGCAACTTTAACCTTTTCCTGCCAAACTATCTTCTTACTTATAAGAGGAACATACGCGTACATGAAAAATAGCTGTTTCTGCAGTTTGAATGACAACAAAAATAACATAATGAGCTGCACATGTAAGTGAAGCACATGGCCATCATCTTCACAACAACCGTGTGAGATCAGTGAGGATGTTCAAAGATAGGCTGGACATGCACATGGTGGGCATGTCGTGAGCAGAGCCGGCTGGAGCTGGGGGTTAGACTAGATGGCCCAGGAGATCCCTTCTGACTCGCTCTGTTTCTATGTTTCTATTCCAGTTTTCAAAAGATGAACAGAAGGAAGCCAGTAAATGTCATAACAGTTGCAAAGTGTCAGACCCTACAACTGTACTGATTGTCTCAGAGCTGTGTCCATGTGGTTATGGTGCATTTGCAAACTGACAATAACCCACATAGGACTTTCAATTTGCTATTATTTCACGTAGCTCAACAACAACCTTGTGATGAAGGCCAGCATTCCATCCCTATTGCCTCTTCCTTCTATGCTACCTTGCACTGCTTCCTTCTACAGGTAGATTTTAACACATGTATCTCTTATTTCAGGCATTCTAAAAGCAATAAGAAATATTATTGCATATAGTGCTCAATATTAGAGACTTAGGAATGGTTAATGGTCACAACCTGTTTTTCTTTCTACTTTTTAAAATTATGCTTTATGCTATTATTGATGGGAAGGGGGTCAGGAAGGAAAAGCAAAAAAATGTATTACTTGAATTAGCTCAAGGAAAGCCATAACAGTTAAAATAGCCAAGAACCTTGTGGCACCTTAAACATGAAAAGATTTATTGCTGCATAAATTTTCACCATCTAGACCACTTCATCAGATGGAAGTGTTA